GGCGGTCAACCCCCAAAGTCACATTCGTCAATTTTAACGCACTCTGTATTCAAAATTTGTACTTTCTTGACGTTAATATTATTACGTACTAAAATGTGCCGAATAGCTGGGCGTAACTTAAGTTTAGTGGTTTGGTTCTGTTGGCAATTATCATATTTCATCCTGCCCTCAGGCTTGGCTCGTTAAAGCGGCGGCCAGAACCCTCTCCTGGGAACGATAAAACTACATACATCAATTGCGAGTCGTATGTCAAGTGTTTTTCATTTATAAACATGGGGTTTGGCGGGTGGATGAACGAGAACTTGGCCTTTGTTGATGCGAATAGGTTTTTGGGCGGACGTGTGGCCTGGATGAGACGTGGTGAGTGTGGCCTGGATGAGACGTGGTGAGTGTGGCCTGGATGAGACGTGGTGAGTGTGGCCTGGATGAGACGTGGTGAGTGTGGCCTGGATGAGACGTGGTGAGTGTGGCCTGGATGAGACGTGGTGAGTGTGGCCTGGATGAGACGTGGTGAGTGTGGCTGGCAGATGGTGTGGTGAGGCGTGATATGAAGGCATGGCATTTGCAACGCCTGGTAACCGTGGCTGGAGCCGGTGGCAGTCTTTGTTTACAATGTGTTGTCTGGCCCCCGCTTTCAACCCCTTGTTTTAAATCTTACCCCCATCCCATATCTCTATCAATTTATTTTCCTTATTCATCCCCTCACCATTGATGTAATCTTATTTCATGCCCTGCCCCTATCCTTCAGTCTCTTTGTCTTCACTCCATCCCTGTCTCCCCCCTTCATCCACTTTAAAACAAAATTATCTTCGAGTCCCGGTTCCACCATTCATTTCATGCCCTGTTCTCTCTCTTTCCCATCCAGATATTCCTACGTGTTTCCTTCTGTGCTTCCAAGTGACGGCTGGGGACTTCCCAGACAAGCGGCAGTGTAATGACATTTCAGTGTTGCTTCCCTAAGGCTTAGTCTTATAAAAAAAATCGGTCAACATGCTTCACTTTTCATACTTTTGCAAATATTTCCAACATAGTGTTGGAAATCTATGATTAATTTATAGAGCTTACTGCAGGTTATTGTTCTCACGTGAGCGTGTTGGGCTGTTTTAATAAAATATTTTATTGGGTTCTATGTGAAATAAATTCTGGAACAAAAGAAAATTTTAATACTTTAAGTACATGTAAATAATATAAATGTATCATTCATAAATAAATTATATTATTTTTCTTGTTACTATTAGCCTATTAACAACATGAATATAATATTTTAATAAAGAACCTGATTGTCAACCTTCCCGAGTTTAGGTGACATTTTCAGAGAAGAACGTACAAAAACAGGGGTAGGTGGGGGGGGGGGGACTGTAGGCCTCCTACTCCTATGAGGGAGCTCCTACTTATATCCACCTAGCTCATTCACACATGTTTAACCTACGATTGAAACAATACAGTGATCCCACGTCTATTATGTTACCCAGCAATCTGTTCTATAAATCAACAACCCTATTTTCAATCTAGTATTTACTCAGGTTTTTCCTAAATCTAAACTTATCCAATTTATATCCGTTGGTTCGTGTTCTATTTTGTGTGATAACTTTAATACCTTATTAACACCCCCATTGTACACTTCAACCATGTCACCCCAATCTCTGCCTTTTTAGTGAATGTAAATCAAGCTCTTTTACATTTCTTTTCACATGAAAAGTTTCTACACCTCAGCCGGGTTTAACTGGCATCGTTTTCTGAACGCGTTCAAGTGGATTGATGTCCATTCCATAGAATGATGACCAACACTCACTCCAAAAATACAACCCTAATATACTTAGCATGATAATATTATGGAAAAAATGTAATAATTTTAATAAATTATAGCACTGCTGTACTAACAAGACAACACGTGCGTGGCTCTCATCCTGTATCTACAAATAGGAAATTACTTAGGCAATTACTATAACAATATTACCATAAGAAATAACACTTAGCATTTACATTAAGATAATATTATTCTAAACCTGAATGACAACAAAAACCACAGCCTCTAGGCTTGGCAGATAACAATAATTATAAAAACCTCCGCACCTCAATAAATATCAGAATTATTCACCTCTCACCAAAGTTAATTACGAAGTCTTTCTTTGAGGCCGTTAAAATGAAATAAGACTTCCTTAGTTACTGCGCATGACCTTCAACTCTTCCCTAATATCTGGGCAACTTTGTTTTACGGTGATTTTCGACAAAAACCTCATCCGGGCGGCCCTTCAATTATTTTACGACAATAATAAAACTGGCTCGTACGTCAGGCTGCGAGCGAGCAGCCGGGTCGAACAGTCTGGTTGACCAGACCACCTCCCAAGAGGCCTGGTCAGAGACCGGGCCGCGGGGACGTTGATCACACCGGAATCATCAAAAGGTAACCAAAAGTTACGCATACAAGTTCTTTGCATGCCCCAGCAAGTTTATGGCAGAACATGAGTAGACACTAGACTGAGCTATGTACACAACAATACACTGTACTGGTAAGCTTACACACTTGTGCAAACTGGCGCTCTTATATACACATACATTAGGTGTCTATTATCAAACACAGCAGTCTTACCGAGAAGACGTGCCTTATTCTGCCAAGCTAAGCGGAGAGAGGAGACAAGGAGCCCCTTGTGGTCCCCGGACACTACCACCACCACCACCACCCCACCCCTAAGACCCCACCTACCACACCCCTAAGACCCCACCCACCACCAAGTCTCTATCACCCCGCACTTATTAAAAAAAACTCATAACAATTAAACAAAAATGCGTAAGCAGTTTTGCATGCTGTATTTTTTGTAATTATATATATTTTCACATATTCCTAAAAAAACAGAAGCCATTACAGAAAACAATGGAATATGCAAATAATACTTTTCGCTACAGGACTGCCTTTTTGAACTGGCACGCCAGTATGTCATGATAAATATTGCAAGCCTTCGACAAAGCTCCAACCTGAAATACAGGATGAGGTTATTCAGTAATTACAAAACCCAGTGAATATATGAGAGAACAATCCAGTTTTTTATTTACCCATCTTCTGGATACTGAACACATGACTGGATGGTTATGACTAACCATCCTGCGTGATAGAGATTTTGTAGCAATTGTATTGTAGAAAGCTCTTGACACAAACTATGTCCCTCTTCATGTAGTCTATGGTATCCAAACAAACATAATGTACATATGTTACACAGAAAAGAAAAATAGTCTATCGGGAGTCCCGTGTTCCGTGGTTTAGTAGTTCTTTTAAGTAGGCTGTTCAGCGCCGAACAAATTTCGATTGCAGATTTTGTCACCCCAATACATTAAGAGTCTATGCAATTCACGAAGGATGAATTCAGCAATGAAGAATGCATACAAAGATTCAATTATGTCTATGAAGTTGGCAATAGATTAATAGATAGTTTATGCTATACATGCACGCGTGCGCAGTACCATGCTTCAAAAGCGAACCCATCGGCAAACATATACAGTACACTACTTTAAAATTTAAAACAAAAATGGAAGGGAACTATCGGGAGAAAGCGGAAAGTTATTACGACTATATAGCACTTAGAAGGGATCAGGATAAGAATTTGGGATGAGATGGGTGAAAAGGAATGCTGCCCAATCACTTGGACGGTTGGGGATTGAACGCCGACCTGCAGGAGGCGAGACCGTCGCTCTACAGTCCAGCCCAAGTAAATATGGAATGAAAGCCAGTGTACTAGGAGGGTTGGTGCAATTTGTTTTATTTATTGTTTTTCTACCACTAACGTGGCCACACATTTACAATGCTAATCAGCATATATATACATTTTCTTGTCCTTCATAGACAGGGTTAGAGATCTGTTAAACATATAGCTCAGCGATTTATTGAACAATCAACCACAGGTGATTGTAGTGCTTATAAAATGCTAATCTAACCTACATACATAAACACACACACAAATGTCATGCTACTGGCAGGTGTGTTACCCCCCCCCCCAGTGTTACGTCCCCCCCAAGTGTTACGTCATCCCTCAAAATGTGTGACGTCGGAACTCCCTTAGGTGTGACGCCAGAGCTCCCCCTAGGTGTGTGTGACGCCAGAGCTCCCCCCTAGGTGTATGTGACGCCAGAGCTCCCCCCTAGGTGTGTGTGACGCCAGAGCTCCCCCCTAGGTGTATGTGACGCCAGAGCTCCCCCCTAGGTGTATGTGACGCCAGAGCTCCCCCCTAGGTGTCTGTGTCGCCAGAGCTCCCCCCTAGGTGTGTGTGACGCCAGAGCTCCCCCCACTAGGTGTGTGACGCCAGAGCTCCCCCCCCTAGGTGTATGTGACGCCAGAGCTCCCCCCTAGGTGTGTGACGCCAGAGCTCCCCCCTAGGTGTGTGACGCCAGAGCTCCCCCACGGTGTGTGACGCCAGAGCTCCCCCCTAGGTGTGTGTGACGCCAGAGCTCCCCCCTAGGGGTGTATGTGACGCCAGAGCTCCCCCCTAGGTGTATGTGACGCCAGAGCTCCCCCCTAGGTGTGTGACGCCAGAGCTCCCCCCTAGGTGTGTGACGCCAGAGCTCCCCCCCTAGGTGTGTGACGCCAGAGCTCCCCCCCCCCTAGGTGTGTGACGCCAGAGCTCCCCCCTAGGTGTGTGACGCCAGAGCTCCCCCACGGTGTGTGTGACGCCAGAGCTCCCCCCTAGGTGTGTGTGACGCCAGAGCTCCCCCACGGTGTGTGTGACGCCAGAGCTCCCCCCTAGGTGTGTGTGACGCCAGAGCTTTCCCCTAGGGGTGTGTGTGACGCCAGAGCTCCCCCACGGTGTGTGACGCCAGAGCCTCACTCAGTAACTGGTGTTGGGAGCCCACCAAAGCCAGCCTTGTTGCCTTGGTAACAGCGGTCAGTTTAACCTCATAGCCCAAGTGAGACATGACGATTATGTATCACGTCAGCTACAAAAACCGCTCACACTACAAAGCTACGAAATACAAAAAGCTGTAACCTGGAGATAAAAGGTAGCTTGGCTTACCTCTTCATAATGTAAGGGGAAGGCTGTGTCCGCCGGGGTCGCCCGCTGCAGTATTCCGTCTTGTGGGGCTTCGCCCACCTTAGTAATCGCTAGAAAATATATATATCACGTTGCCTGAAGTACTTCCAAATTTTGGGAGACGTTATTTCGGTCACTGGGAGTTTAGACAACTGGCCTACAATAAATATTACACACCATATAGCTGTGATTTGTCACGATACAGCCACAGATTTCCGAGTAATTTTTTTTCTACCGTACCTAAAAGGGCTATGTTATCAAAGGCAATCGCCACTTACAGGCCAAATAATAAACTTTAGAAATACATCCAAATGCGGTTAGAAACACCCTTGACAGAGACAAGAGCACGGGAGAGCGTCTGGCACGACCTCCCCCTCACAACAGCTGAGCTTCAACTGCCTCCTACAACGCTGCCAACAACAACAGTTCCAATAATATAAAGTCTTACATGTTGCTCACTCAATTTTGTAATTTTATGTACAATTATTAAAAATAATTTAGCATTTACTAAGCATGGCTATTTTTTTAAAACAAAATTGTGTGTGCTGTTTTAAGTAAGTTTAGAGTTCAAGTTATTTTATATGACTATCGATACCGCTTTAAAGGTTATTCCTAATGTACTGTAAGTTTTAGTGATGTAGGCAATAAGTAGATATAAATATTAGTGTGATCATTCATAATATACAAATGTAAGAACTGTAATTTCTAAAACAACAGTTCATTAGTCTTATAGTTATATTTAAAGTTATGGTGGTAGCAGACCCTGGCATCTGTAGGGGGAGAGTTGCCAGACACCGGCCGGCCAGATGCAGGACCTCTCATTTTCCCTCGACGAAGCATTCAGTAGCACTAACTTTTCATTCACTGAAAATTAATGAAAAAGTATTGATCGTGTTGCGCATTTTGGCCCATTTCTAATATTTATAAGCTTTGTTTCTAATGAATATGCTATTATTTCATCATAGGCTACCACCTTAATTATGACATTTATTAATGAACATCAATGTTGATGTTTTAATAAATCAGCGTTGATTAATGGCTATTCGATATGACACTTTATTTTCTTTCAGTTCTAATTCCCTTTGTCTTAAGATTAGATTTAAAGCAACCCATCCTCCTGTTCAGCGGGAAGGTTGATGCACCAAGACTCATCTTTTGTTAAATTATCTGCATGTCTCTTGCAAATTGTCTATACAGTATACCTACCTTGGTTACCTTGAGGTGCTTCCGGGGCTTAGCGTCCCCGCGGCCCGGTCGTCGACCAGGCCTCCTGGTTGCTGGACTGATCAACCAGGCTGTTGGACGCGGCTGCTCGCAGCCTGATACCTGAGTCACAGCCTGGTTGATCAGGTATCCTTTGGAGGTGCTTATCCAGTTCTACTTAAGTCATAAATGTATTTGTGTGTACTCTGATACCATACTACTTGTGTAAAGGAAGAATTGTATGTTTATCTCTCAGAATGTTCGGCAATATATTTATTGTTTGTGATGTGTGTCTATAGATGTATGAACACGTTGTACTGAACGGGGTGAGAATAGCTTGAGCTACCTCAGCCCTTTGTGTGTATTTTACCTCAATAAACTTATTTCAATTTCAATCCTCCTATTTAGATCGTACTTTTTTGTGACTGGACCATCGTACATATATGGACGTAATGGACAATTACATAGTAGAACTTTGTACTATATAGAGTCCGACAAAAATAAAGCTAAAAACCAAACTTAAATATCCCTAGGCCTAGTATAGCAGATATATGTACTGTATTAGGCCTCATATAGCGTGAATTAGGCCTAGGAAGGTTAGGTTAATTTTTCTTTGCAACATCAACACAAAAACTTTCCCGGTTTGTCCTAATTCAGTAATACCAATATCTACTCTCTAATTGCCTTTTACGTCTAGAAAAAACACCTCCGAAGTAAAAGGCCCCCCCCTCAAAGAAGGACCTTTTACGATGGTCCTCATCGTTACTACAAGTACCACCTAAACAGGAGGATGGGCCGTTTAAAGCCTATTAATTAGTCCAGTTGAACACCCACAATACCGTAGAGAAAACCGTGGCTCCTGCATGCTTGCTCTGGTACTACTTCACGAGTGTTTGTTATACTGCATGAGGTCTAGTTCTTTATTTCATGGTGTTATAGATTCATCTACTCGGAACAAGTTCCAAGTAGCACGGGCTATGGTGAGCCCGTAACTTACCCGGCACAGGAGCGGGGCAAGTAGCACGGGCTATGGTGAGCCCGTAGTGGACTTACCTGACACTGGAGCGGTGCCCTACTCTGTGTGTGTGTGTTTATTTCAGATTTCAGTGTTTCTTATACTGTATTTGCAATATCTTTCAGAGACCGGGCCGCGGGGATATTTATTCCTGGAACGAACAAAAAGGTAGTCTGTTGCATCTCTCTCTCTTTCTCTCTCTCTCTCTCTCTCTCTCTCTCTCTCTCTCTCTCTCTCTCTCTCTCTCTCTCTCTCTCTCTCTCTCTCTCTCTCTCTCTCTCTCTCTCTCTCTCTCTCTCTCTCTCTCTTTATCTCTCTCTCTCTCTCTCTCTCTCTCTCTCTCTCTATCTCTCTCTCTCTCTCTCTCTCTCTCTCTCTCTCTCTCTCTCTCTCTCTCTCTCTCTCTCTCTCTCTCTCTCTCTCTCTCTCTCCTCTCTCTCTCTCTCTCTCTCTTCTCTCTCTCTCTCTTTATCTCTCTCTCTCTCTCTCTCTCTCTCTCTCTCTCTCTCTCTCTCTCTCTCTCTCTTCTCTTTCTCTCTCTCTCTTTATCTCTCTCTCTTTTCTCTCTCTCTCTCTTATCTCTCTCTCTCTTTATCTCTCTCTCTCTCTCTCTCTCTCTCTCTCTTCTCTCTCTCTCTCTCTTTATCTCTCTCTCTCTCTCTCTCTCTCTCTCTCTCTCTCTCTCTTTATCTCTCTCTCTCTTTATCTCTCTCTCTCTTTATCTCTCTCTCTCTCTCTCTCTCTCTCTCTCTCTCTCTCTCTCTCTCTCTCTCTCTCTCTCTCTCTCTTTATCTCTCTCTTTATCTCTCTCTCTCTCTTTCTCTCTCTCTTTATCTCTCTCTTAATCTCTCTCTTTATCTCTCTCTTATCTCTCTCTCTTCTCTCTCTCTTTCTCTCTCTCTTTCTCTCTCTCTTTCTCTCTCTCTTTCTCTCTTTCTCTCTCTCTTTCTCTCTCTCTCTCTCTCTCTCTCTCTCTCTCTCTCTCTCTCTCTCTCTCTCTCTCTCTCTCTCTCTCTCTCTCTCTCTCTCTCTCTCTCTCTCTCTCATATTCAAGATTTTTATTTGCATATTTTGTAACGAGCGACTGAACAGTTTAAAACTATTGTTTATTTACAGACTGCCTTAGTTGAAGATGATAATAACGGCAGTAGAATGAGTAGCTTTGTTAGCAAAGGTTGGCAGCGTTGGGGGCGACCCTCCGGAAGTCTGACAACAGCACTAATCCCAGGATCGATATCTAAATCCGGATTACACTTTTAGGCGGTAATTTTGCTTCAGGTTTGCTCGCAATGGAGTGCCCGAAATTCTGTTTAATTCAGAAAGCCTGAAAATACCCCCATTGTTCGAGTATGATATTGTTATGTTGGTATTTAGTCTTAGGACCATGTACTGGAACCGGTTTGGTTATTCAGGGCTGTGTGTGTGTGTGTGTGTGTGTGTGTGTGTGTGTGTGTGTGTGTAGTGTGTGTGTGTGTGTGTGTGTGTGTGTGTGTGTGTGTGTGTGTGTGTGTGTGTGTGTGTGTGTGTGTGTGTATTTTTTATGTGCGTGTATGTGTTGCGGGTGTTGTGTGATATTGTTAATCTAAGCTAGAGTGCAATACAAATTGTTTGTAGGATTTGCAGCCTAACTATATATAAATATATAAATATATATATATGATTTAATTTATTTGTGAAATAATATAAGCTGCCTTCGTCTGTGCACAATGGAACACCAGAAACATTTAATCCGCACCTGAGAACAGATTACATGGACACTCGATAGACTTAGATCCAACTGTGGAAATCTGATCCCATATCCGGATTCTGACTTCATGCGTGGCTTCATTGTAAGGTAATCTGTCTGGCTTCTCACAAGCCCTAAGACCCCTGGCTTAGTTGTGAAGTACACTCCCGAGTCCCAAAGACCCCCCCCCCCTTCCTGTCTTACTAACGGAGAAGTACCCTCACGAGTCCTTAAGACTCCCTCGAAGAAGGCAGTGATTGAGAAGACGAACCATTTCTCCGTTGTACAGGAAAACTTACACAGGAACCCGGGGAGAACTTGAGCGAGAGCCCAGAGGAGAACTTGAGCGAGAGCAAAGAAGAGAACTTGAGCGAAACCCTGTTTCTGTGCTTCAGAAGTAGAGTTTAAGCAGGGATCCAGCAAGTAGGGCGACGAGGCATCTCAATAAGGAACACAAGAAAATCTTGGGTGTTGGAGATTCTCAAATAAGATATGGAGGCAGGATTTTGTGTTCAAGAGATCCACGTAATTGGATGTGAATATGTTTTCTTGCACTGGTATAGGTAACACAATGAACAAAATGGGTACCATTTGGCCCAGTAATTGGACCCAACCTTTTTGTCACCTCTCGGTTAGATGGAACGATTTCGGTAGCAGTCAAAGAGAGGAGGTTATCTTGAGGTTATCTTGTGATGATTTCGGGGCTTTAGTGTCCCCGCGGCCCGGTCCTCGACCAGGCCTCCACCCCCAGGAAGCAGCCCGTGACAGCTGACTAACACCCAGGTACCTATTTTACTGCTAGGTAACAGGGGCATAGGGTGAAAGAAACTCTGCCCATTGTTTCTCGCCGGCGCCTGGGATCGAACCCAGGACCACAGGATCACAAGGCCAGCGTGCTGTCCGCTCGGCCGACCGGCTCCAGGAACTTAAAAATAGGTTCAAGTTAATACTAGATATGATTATGGAAAAGGGTAGGGGGGGGGGGGGGTGCCTATCGTTACCTTATCTTGAGGTTACCTTGAGGAGCTTCCGGGGCTTAGTGTCCCCGCGGCCCGGTCGTCGACCAGGCCTCCTGGTTACCGGACTGATCAACCAGGCTGTTGGACGCGGCTGCTCGCAGCCTGATGTATGAGTCACAGCCTGGTTGATCAGGTATCCTTTGGAGGTGCTTATCCAGTTCTCTCTTGAACACTGTGAGGGGTTTGCCAGTTATGCGCCTTATGTGGAGTGGAAGCGTGTTGAACAGTCTCGGGCCTCTGATGTTGATAGAGTTCTCTCTCAGAGTACCTGTTGCACCTCTGCTTTTCAACTGGGGTATTCTGCACATCCTGCCATGTCTTCTGGTCTCATGTGATGTTATTTCTGTGTGCAGGTTTGGGACCAGCCCCTCTACTATTTTCCACATGTAAATTATTATGTATCTCTCCCGCCTGCGCTCAAGGGAGTATAGATTTATCACCAGATGTCCTGGTGATCGTATGTAGAATTATGTCAAGGTTGGTGTCAGTCGTGAGTGGTTGACGAGGGCAATAGGGGTAAAAAGGCTTTGAAAGACAATGTTTTCAGAGAGAAACACATGCACCAACAACAGGGTACTAGATTTATGTACAGGAAATTATGAGGGAACAAATCCACAAGGGCTGTGACGAGGATTTGTTCATTTGATGCATCACGTTATTGTGATCTGTGTGTGTGTGAAATTATGAGGGATTTATGAGTTTCTTGAGGAAGGTAGAGTGGATGTTCCTGAACATGATAGGTGAGTAGTCTTTTGAACGTGACGTGAGGCCAGCGGTGAGTGGCATGATACTAAATTAAAAATTAATCTACATGACATGACATGACACTAAATGTACATTAAAAATTATAACGCATTTAACAACAAATTTATTAAAGCTCAAGAACGAACTTCTTGCGACACAAGTAAGGTTCATCGATCTTGACTTCCTCTCTTACTTAGTTACAGTAATAAACTGCACTTTGCCTCATTTAGTTTGTCTAGGGTAAGGGACAACGGTAAGTAAACATCACTATCTGTTTACTTTCTTACATAACAGGGGCAAAAGTCATTATATACAAAAATAAGAATTACTATTTACAAGATTTACAGGTTACAAATACTTAAATTAACACCTGTGCCCTAAACCACATCTAGAGGCACTTCAGACCCTCTTTGAACATCAACAACTTTAAGTCAGTCTGGCCATTGACAAAACTGTAAGTCATTATGTACATTAACAAAACTGTAAGTCATTATGTACATTAACAAAACTGTAAGTCATTATGTACATTAACAAAACTGTAAGTCATTATGTACATTAACAAAACTGTAAGTCATTATGTACATTAACAAAACTGTAAGTCATTATGTACATTAACAAAACTGTAAGTCACTATGGACATTAACAAAACTGTAAGTCATTATGTACATTAACAAAACTGTAAGTCATTATGTACATTAACAAAACTGTAAGTCATTATGTACATTAACAAAACTGTAAGTCACTATGGACATTAACAAAACTGTAAGTCACTATGGACATTAACAAAACTGTAAGTCACTATGGACATTAACAAAACTGTAAGTCACTATGGACAATAACAAACCTGAACTCGATAAAAGCCAAACGTGTATGAATACACTCTGGCTTGCTGTCCCCCGACACAGTTTATTATAAATTCTAACAACATGAGGAACACAGCAACAACAACACCATCACAACAACAAGAGCAACACATTAACAACACTACCACGACAACAACAAGAGTAACACAGTAACAACTACCAGAGCAACACAGCAACAACAGGAATAACACTTACAACACTACAACAACAACAAGAGCAAAACAGAAAAACATCACCACCACAATCACAACAAATGCAGCGCAGCAACAACATATTTACCACAATTTACCTGAGTGCCACTATCTCTCTAGTGGCCTCGACGAGGACAGGAGTCGACTGCTTTTCAAAGATCCCCACATTTGTCCTGGTGATTTTGTCCAGCTAGATTTTGAAATCCAGCAGCGTTTTGGCATTTACGGATTTGACGGGTAGGCGGTTCCATGGGTTTATAATAGATTTTATAATTTATAACTCTATGGGTGTGAAAGCAGTTCCTGTTTTCAGTCCTGCACTGTGGCTTGTTGAACTTGAAACCGTTGCTTCTTGTTTGTGTTACATCTCACCCTTTGAAGTTGTCTGGATCAAGCAATATCTTCCAAATACTGTTCATTTTTTGTTAAAGTTTCAATGAGATTAGCCCTGTTGTTGTTGATGATGTAGGGGGCCGCGATAGCAGATCAGCTCTGTCATGTCCGGTTTGTAGTGTCGTTAGACCTGTGGCCTTCAGTCGTTCCTAGTATGATCGACTTAGTTCATAAATTATTTTAGTCGCCCGGCGTTAACTTTCTCCTAAGAAGATGAGTCTTTCTGATGATGAGGTCTCGACCATGCTTGGATAAGCCAAGACGAGGTACGCCAGATTTATACAGCTGTACAACTATACTTTCTGTTCTTTGAAGTCAATATTTCGTTTGACTTTTAGGATTTGGTTTGCTTAATTTTTGTACTGCAGTTCGCAAATTACAGAAAAAGCCATAAATACCAAAATTCTGCTGAACTATAAAAATCCAGCCTGAAAAAATCATCAGGACAAATGTGGGGACCGTTGAGAAGCCGCCGGCTTCCTGTCCTCATCGTGGCCACTAGAGTGATAGTGGCCCTCAGGTAAATTCGGGTGTTTGAGTTTGTAATAATAAAGTCTATCCTCATACATTTCTCGTTTTCTGTCTCAAGCTGCAGACGTGTTCCAGTAATGTTAACATTGTTCACAACAGCATCTACCATAACAAAAATATATAATTTTAAAATAATTGCTTAAATCTACAAAATTATTTTTTTGTATTTAACACAACAAAACCTTTAATGTTCTTGAAAGTATAACTTTTTAAAAGATTTTACTGGTAAACATGGTAGGTGAATTCAGGGTCCGCTCTCGGACATTCTTTCATTCGTGACAAGTCCTCTACGTAAGTAGTGAAATATTGTATCTTCTTTCATCGGGTGTTATCGGCCATGTAAGATGTTTGAAATGTGGTTGGTTATTCTACCAAACAGCTTGAGAAAGATTTTAATGTGTTACTAAAGCATAATTTGTCTCCTTGCGGCCGATAATACATAAAATTGTGATGTGTTTACCATGCGGTTCTGGGTGCTGGGCTTCGCTGTGGTACACTTTCCTCTGTTCACAGTTTATCTATAATTTATACACTAATACTTGGTCATTTAATGAATCCCTGCAGTAGTTTAGGCCTTAATTGTGCACTGCGCCCTTTGTTGTGCCACATACTAGGTGATTGTTTGGTATAAACAGTAAAACATAGCGTACGTAATATGTCGAAGTGTTCTAGTGTATAGGTATAATTAGGGCTGTGTTCTATATAGGTATTGTGTTCTGGCATAACTATATAACAATGAAGAACGAAATGTTCATTTATAATAGTGAAAGTAGTATGAAGGTACCACCAAGGTAGCCGAGCAGAGGTGATGACGTCAGTGGCGTCACACGCTGCACACACTACTGTACTCGCCTAGTTGTGCTGACTGGGGTCGAGCTTTGGCTCCTTGGTCCCTGTATTTATATGTATTTTTATATAATTAGCATCTTAATAGGCGTGTATAAAGTTTCAATGACGTAGGAACCAGATAATTTTTGCCTCCTATAACTGCTGGACACTAACTAAACCTCAAACATTTATTTGTTCTGGCTTTAAATTGCTTTCAATGGTAAAATCTTATTAGGTTATTAAGGGCAGGCTGAAGTTGGAATGGCCTTCAGATTTCCTATTTGAAGATACGGTATGGTTCAAGTATGTTAATTGTCACGTCGTACCCAAGATTTCGTTAAATTTTAAAACCTACCAGACCTAAGATAACGGCCTAATCCAACGATATACAGTATGCTGTATATCTTGTGTAATGAGGTTTGTTAGAGCTCACCAACAGTACATCAAACATAGACCAAGAGAAAGTTGCTAATATCCGGATGCTTAAAATTGAAATATTTACCTTGATGGAAACAAATGGTATGCATCTTGGGAAAATTTAGTAGGCTATATACGTGTGTTCTGCACATATTGTCGTGACCTGATGTTGCCAGTATTCAGAATGCGAGACTAAAAAATTTTTTTAGTTGAATCACGTACGATATGTTGCCGTTTGAATAGCCCCACAAGGGCTCTGGACACCAGCACCAGGTACCTCCAATGTTGGGTAACCCTTGGTATAAATCAATGAATAAATCTTTTATTACGCTACATAGCATAACAAATATTTTTATTACCTCTGCCGTCCAACTACTTGGGCTGGACGGTAGGAGGACGGTCTCGCTTCATGCAGGTTGGTGTTCAATTCCTGACCTTCCAAAGTGGTTGGGCACCATTCCTTTCCTCCATCCCATCCCAGATCCTTATCCTAACCCCTTCCAAGTGCTATATAGTTGTAATGGGTTGGCATTTTCCCCCTGATAGTTCCCTTCCCCCTACATAGCAAGTTAGTTTCGTTTAAAAAAAATGTTTGACCTTTTTCCTTGCATCTTGAGAGAATCTGATTTTCCCCCCTATGTTTTGTAGCTAATTTTTTGGGTTCCTCTGACTTACTGTCTTTAAAGTGTCTTGGACCATTTTCATTTGATTTGGAGGGACGGTACAAGATCTTTCAATGCTCTGTTAGGCTGATTTTATATTGCTTTTTTTCTATACTCTGCAGGGTGAAAATGAATTATCAAAATTGGGATTACTAAATTATTTGGCTTTAGGATTACCGTCTCTGCTGTCTTGGGCTAGGATCTCTTATTTTATAATTAGAAGCATAGATACAGTGTTGTAATTTTAACATTTAATAGTCCCAGGTGTAAAGGTGGTACCTTTGTTTTCGTTGCTATGAATGTTTCGTTTTATGGATTAAACATTTCAGTTATAGATTGGGTTTAATTTTTGTAAAATAGCAGTCCCATAATGTAAGTAATGTTCCAGGCAGATAATTTTAAACATGATCTCTACAGCGGTATAATCATAATTTATTTTTTTGTTATAAAATGTTTTAAAATTGAGACACTATAAATATAACTAGTCAGCAATTTTTAACTGGTATTTCAAGTTTGTATTAAAATTTGTAAAGAAAGTGCACTTCATATTGTAATTAGAAATCTTTTAATTTTAAAGTAGTTAACAACTGTAATAAAACAAATACAAAATAAATCGGTCCTGTCATAAAGTACGATCCATTTCCCAGTTTTGACTTGTCTTTTGTCCAACCACTTGTGCTCGACAGTAGAGTGACTTAAGTTCATGCAGGTCGGGGTTCAATCCTTGACCTTCAAAGTGGTTGGGTACCATTGCTTTTCCATGTCCCATTCCAAATCTTTATCCTGATCTCTTCCAAATCCTATATAATAATAATGGCTTGGTGCTTTTTCCTGAATAATTCTTCCCTTTTAAAATATATCCAGTACAGTACTGTAAATGTGTTAAAAAAAAGCTTATACTTTTTATTATTAATCATGATAACAATTGTAATGGTAATCATCTTCTCACAGACATTGTAACATTAGAATAAAATCCATACTTGTGTACTGTATTTGAATTTTATTTTAAAGCAAAGATTTAGTCACATTCCTGTGTGCTTTGTCGTCTGAGTGCTGTATGTGGTTAGGACGAGATTTTTGTCCCAATGGCTAATGCATTAGTCGTTGAGATGCAAATCTTGTCCTAACTATTCACTCGAGACCTTGACAAAGCACACAGGAAAGTGCGAAAGACGTAGTGTAAATCTTTACATAAAATTCACAAATACATACTAGTAGATTTTTTTATTCAGTTGCAATGGTGTCATGATAAATGTATTTCTAACCTATTTTGATCTACAGTGTGGGAGGGGGTGCAATTTGTTTTTCTTTCCTTCAGTATGTGAATTTGGGTCCTATGCTTACATCAATTTGGTTACAATAAAAGTTGACATATGCAGGCTGGTTATCACTTAAGTGTTATAATGATTGATGATAATGATTGATGATAAAATGTGTAAAGGGCCTTGGTTTTTGTTTAAAACTTGTAATAATAAACAATAAAAACAAATTGATGTAGAAATTATTTTTTTTCATTGAAAGTAAAAACAAAAATTGCACTGGTAGGAACAATTGACTACCTAATTATTAGAATAAATTCTTTATGCATGAAATAAAATAGAATTGGCATTTATAATATGGCTGGTTGGTTGTATAACTTCATTGGAACACTTTTTCTGTGAAAAAATGAAAATAGTTATATTGGAAATATAGGTGTAACAACCTCATAATTTAATGTTTTACTGTTTAATGCTATATGTCTTAGTTGTAGTTTTATAACCTGTGACACTTTAGTGCTGTCTCGACCAATGGGACAGTTCTATGATGCAAGCAGGGAGAGAAAGGGTGGGCTTCGTGCTGGTGTACTGGTCTTGTACATTTGCCCCGTTACCCTCGTACATATGTATTGTATTTTATGCCATAATTTGAAATTGAAATATTAGGTGTTGGTAGAAATTGTAGCACTAATTCTACCAACACTTATTACTAGAATTGCTCTTACTGCCATCATTGTTATTATCTCCACTTCATCTCATTACAGTGCAATATTCTGTAATCATTCAGGTAGTGACATATTTTGCTTTTTATATTTTTATAGAATGGCAGACTCCGGATCTGGCCGTGGAGGCTTCAGAGGTGGCTTTGGCACCCGTGGACGAGGGCGTGGTCGTGGCCGTGGTCGCGGACGTGGCCGTGGACGTGGCAAGGAGAATGAGAAAGAATGGGTGCCCATTACCAAGCTTGGAAGATTAGTAAAGGATGCAAAGATTAGAAGTTTGGAGGAGATTTATCTTTTCTCCCTTCCCATCAAGGTAAGAAACGCATACTTTTCAGTGAAGCCCAGTCCAACAAAAGTAGAGATGCAATGAAAGGTTTCCACTGTAAATAAGATCCATGTTCATTGGATATCAACAATCAATAGTATTTCAATACTGTTATTGATTGATTTACCTTAGTTGTAGCTGTTATAACCTGTGACACTTTAGTGCTGTCTCGACCAATGGGACAGTTCTATGATGCAAGCAGGGAGAGTAAGGGTGGGCTTCGTGCTGGTGTACTGGTCTTGTACATTTGCCCCGTTACCCTCGTACAAATTTGTTTATGCAATTCAATAGCTTTAAGTGCTTTCCATTTCTTTTAATTAGCCAATGGTTGAAAATAATTTACAAGGAACAAGGTTAGTAATGAACCTGAAACATAATTGTAGTATTCAGAACTTTTACTTCATTTTCAAAGCATACATATACAGTACATATGCTTTCTGTAATAACCATTGTTGGCAGGTGCCAGTTCTTTTTTTTATGTAGATTTGTAGTGACACTGGTATTATTTGGCTATGCAGAGGTCAAACATGTCTAAATTATGTAGTGTAAACTTTAATATATTGTATTGTACAAAGGTAACCATGTTGCTGCCTGCAACTAGAGATTTTAGGAATTCTTCAAAATAAAATGAGTGCAGATAGTGGAGTATCTCCTGACAATAAATACTGGGTAACATAGCAGTAGTTGAGGAAGTAGTAACTACCTTTTAATGGAACGAGAAGTAATGAACAAGGGTAGAGGGACCATAGGACATCTTGAGATGATTTCGGGGCTTTAGTGTCCCCGCGACCCGGTCCTCGATCAGGCCTCCACCCTCAGGAAGCAGCCTGTGACAGCTGACTAACTCCCAGGTACAGTACCTATTTACTGCTAGGTAACAGGGGCATCTGGGTGGAAGAAACTGCCCATTGTTTCTTGCCGGCACCCGGGATCAAACCCGGGACCACAGGATCACGCGTCAAGTGTTCTGTCCGCTCAGCTGCCGGCTCCCTCCAGACCAGACCAGATCTCATGGTTGTTAAAAAAAAAAAAATGTTGGGTACTTTCTAGTCGGGCAAGTAGGATCATCAAAAGTGTTATGTTCATTTGGAAATGTGGGTAGTCAAATTCTATTCAAAATTTCAAAATTCAAATGTCTGTTCACACTAGTGAACAGACCTTAAAATAATTGGGATAGGCAGGAAGCTTTAACTAGATTGCTATTGCTAATATACATGCAAATAAAATACTGTACATTACTGTAGAAAATTATCAGTAAGCATTTGGTGCCTGATAATCTGGAAAGGATAAGATCTGTTTGGCAACGTTGCTATAAAGTTGTCTAGGTGCTTATGAGGGCTAGAGTAAAAGAAGCTTTTAATGAAGTTCCCTGCAGTAAGTTAGCGAAAAAGATTTGTTTGTACTGTGGAAGATAGGATAACCCGAAGGACATGAGTGATTATATTAAAGTGACTCCATAAGAGCATGGTCAAGACAAAAATACAGAATTAGCCTATTGTAGCTTTCCTTCAACGAAACCTATGTAAAAGATCTGCGAATAGTTTGTCGACCTAATGTTCACCGAGCATAACATCAGCCAGGGAAATGACAAGGTGGATTATGAAAAGCATGCTTTCCTGCCTTTGGTACTGCTTGATACTTGCTTTGTCTTTCAAAACTGGAAATATTTAGAGGGAATTTAGAGAACATGTACTATACACTGAATCATTGGGTCAGTGATTACGTCCATGCTCCATTTTAGCATTGATGCTTTTTATTATAAAAATGTGTTTATTTTCAACTTTGTTTTAAAACCAAATAAACACTTAATTTGCTCTTAACCAGCTTTTTCAAATTACAGTACTGTATAAGGAAAATAGGACAAAAAACTGCAGGTGGAAGTTGAGAATACAAATGAACAAGACAAGAGTACAAAATACTTAAATGAAGTGAGAACTCTACTAGTGGCATGCTTAGAAATTAGTAGTAGGTGCTACCTCAATTCATAGCTTAACACTTGCTGCCTGATGCCACAAAATGCGGCATAAATCCAAAATACGGAGTATGGCCGATGCAAACGGGGTCAATGATTTCTAAAAATTTGTAGAAATTAATTTGTCTGAATACTATGGCACTTGTTTTAAAATGCGTCCCAACCTCTGCCCATTCTCTGTATACCCCACGTGACATCCTGACTGCCATGTGGGCGCCCACCCATGCTGGATGCTCAGTTTTCGTGACCTTGCTTGTGACAGCAGCGTCCTCCCATTGAGTCAAAAAGTTTCCCTTTCTGGTTATTTTATCTTGGGTATTTGTTGTTACTGGCTTTATAAACACTGCAAATTGACTTCCAGACGGATACTGATAAAGAACAGAGCCAATCCATGGTGCAAGCACTGAAAGAAATGTGTATGAGGGGAAGAGTTATTGGGTTTTCTTCAAAAGTATAGAAAAGTGAGACCTGTGTGTTCTTGTATGAACATATCCCTTTACAGCATTCTATTGTCAACAATTTGATACCAAATTGAATAACTTAGCAAGAAAAATTGAAATGAGAAAGCTTAAAAAGAGAATAAATGTTGGAGTGGTGGCGAGTTCTGGGCCTACCTTGCAGTGTGCGGTGGGTCTAAAGTATAGGAAAGTGAGACTTGTGTGTTCTTATATGTACATATTCCTTTAGAGCAGTCTATTGTGAACAATTTCACACCAAATTGAACAACGTAGCACGAAAATTGAGGTCAGAAAACTAAAGGGTATAAACATTTGTGGATGGTGGCGAGTTAGCGCGCACTGCTCGGCCTATCTTGAGGTGCATGGCAGTCGACTCGCTGGGGCAGTGAAAGTGTTAACACTATCGCACTCCAGGTGGGTGCGCCGCATGACTGTGATGTCATGGTCCCGACATTTCGGGAGAGTGCGCGGCAACACCAAAAAGTGTGTACTTGTTTTAGTTTTCTCGCCTTAATTCTCGTGCTACGTTGCTCATTTTGGTATCGTTGTGTTTGCAATATAATTCGCTATAGGGGTATGTGCATATAAGGTCCAAAAGCTCACCGTGACTCCCCTCAGCAAAGTTTAAATTCGGCAAAGTTACCCGTGAGCGCGCAAAATCGGTAAAATGTGTGTACTCGTTTTAGTTTTCTCATCTTATTTCTTGTGCTACATCTTTCGTTTTGGTATCAGTGTGTTCACAATAGAATTCTCTATAGGGGTATATGCATATAAGGTCTAAAAGCCTGGCGTGACTCCCCACAGCAAAGTCTAAATTCAGCCAAGTTACCCATGAATGAGCACCTATCGACACACCTGCCAATGTATATACTCGAAAATTTGTTATCAAACTGAATGTGTTAAATGTTTCATTTTGGTATCAAATTGTTCACAAAATAAAGGCGCGTATTTTAAAACTAGTCCCATAATAATAGAACAATAAATGGAATTTTAACACATTTTAACTTTTGGACACTACGCTCGTCACCACAAAATTATTAATATCTTCAGTGTGTTCTGACATCAATTTTCATGTTGTCTTTCATTTTGTTATCGAACTGTGTGCAATTTAAAGGTGCTCATTTTGAAACCACCCAGAAGTTGATCAGATTGAATTTATTGAATTTTTTACAAATATTTTAATACATAACGCAAGCCATACTCACTCGCTCAGAATCGGGAGAAAAATGAGGGGTGGCAGCCGCGGAACGCGAAAGGGTTAAGAAGCTAATAGCAAGTAAAAACTTCCTTTTCTAGGTACAAAAAAAGCTAAGATGTGAGGAAGAAAGAGCTAGGACAGTATACCTGTAAATATTTCTTCCTGCTGCCTTGCATTTTTTATATTGTCTTGAGGTGTGACAGGTTTGGTACATTAGTACTTTTCTTGATTGTCCTCAATCAAAACTGTAATTGCAGTGATATTCCTTGAAAAATATATTGAACGTGTTCTTTTTATTGCAGGAGTTTGAGATCATTGACTTTTTCCTTGGACCTAAGTTGAAGGATGAGGTACTAAAGATCATGCCTGTCCAGAAACAAACACGTGCTGGACAGCGTACTCGCTTCAAGGTAAGCATTCATTACCCACTACTGTATCTTGTTATGCTGCACCCTAAATTAAGATACGTCTGTGTGACAATTTTCAAACTTTAGTATCTCTTCAGGGTCATGAAGGTGCTAAGGAATCACTTTAAATTAATCTACCATCCAGTCCTAGTGAATGTCTCATCAGAGAACACTGGTGATGATGATGAAATTTATCAGAATAGGTTTTTTTATATGGCGATACTGTACTGATATTTTGGATGCGTTGGTGAACTAAATATTATTGATAATTGTTTGGTGTCTTTGTAAACTTGATTGGGAATTCTATTTCTGTACATAGTTTTAATTTATTTTGTTGAATTTTGAGTTTAATGTTTTCTCCAGCAAAAGTAAAGCCTGTCAGTATTCTGTATTGTGAAAATTTAAAAAAAAAGTGATAAGAGGTAACAGATTGCCGAGTTAAAGCTATGAAATTTTATTAGAGATAAGAATTTCCCCATGAAAAATGCTTAATAAATCCTAAACTATCTTTTATTTATATAACTATTTGTATATATTTTCCTTTGACTTGTTTTTCATACCATAAAACAATGAAAGTAATCGGGAGAAAGCACTAAGCCATTACGACTGTATAGCACTTGGAAAGTATAAGGTGGGGGGGTGAGGATTTACGATAGGACGGGGGAAGGGAGTGTTGCCCAACCACTTGGGACACTGGGATTGAATGCTGACCTGCATGAAATGTGTCAGTCTGTCTGGTCCCATCCAGACCCAAGTGGTTGGGAGAGAAGAAAACAAAACCAAATGCTAGTTGTCACTTCATCTTTTAATAATTAATAGCTCTTTTTTTTTGTACGGTCATTGGTAACTTTTTTGAAATTTAAGAAAAAACTGACTAGCTGCCTGATATTGGTAAAGTAAAGCTATAAAATATGGCTAAAGAAATAGGATTTTATTGTAATAAAAAAATTTTGAGGTTGGAAAAAATGGGTAATAGCCCTTCTTGTTTTTTATATACTAGACAGTGTGCGTGTGCATGTTTCCCCCTATCCTCTTCCCTCCTGTATACATGCATGCATATTCTCCCTCCACATATGTAGTGTACGTACGCTACCTCGCCCCAAAACGATAAATAAGTAAAGGCAAGTAGAAAAGTTTGAATCTTAGCTTTTTCCTGCAAACCACAAGTTATCTAATCAATGTATTAACCATGTACTTGATCCCTCCTTTTAATAATTTAAAAACATTTTTTACATGTATCCTAAAATTGTATTGAATTTCAGGCATTTGTTGCCATTGGAGACTTCGACGGACATATTGGTCTTGGTGTGAAATGTAGCAAGGAAGTTGCCACTGCTATTCGTGGTGCCATTATCTTGGCAAAGCTATCTATTGTCCCTGTTAGGCGAGGTTACTGGGGTAACAAGATCGGCAAGCCCCACACTGTACCTTGTAAGGTAAGCACTGTCTGGTTTTCTTGATTTAATGTTTTTGCTTTGCCAACCTTCCCCCCCCCCCCCCCCTTTTTTTTCCTTCTCTTCTCTCCCCCCCCCCCCCCCCCCTCTCCAGTAAGGGTAAGAGTATATCATGATCCAGTAGTGCATAGTCCTAAATATTTTGTGACTGCAATTGGGCATTTTGTTCATTAAAAGTGAAATCTGAAAGCTGGTGTGCATGCTTGAAAAGTTGAACAGAGCCAAGTGCCCTAGAATTGTCAATTAACAAAAAAAAAAGTGAAGGTGTGGAAGAGAGGTAGTGGTAGTTCATAGAACTTACTTAAAGTACCCCAATTCCAGAGGATACCACCAGGACTTTCAAAAAAATGCTGTAAGATTTTTCCTTGTCATTGCATCCAACGATACTGTTATATCCACTTCTCCTATTTTTCCCCTATAACGATTGTACCACTTAATGTGGTACAAATTACTGAACAAATTAATGACCAGTACCCTGGCTTTGGGCCGGGTAGTAGAACATCTCTGGACCCATCAAGCAGTAAGTTGAGGATTAATAACCTACCTGAGTGAGAGCATTTGTACACGTCCTCATTATAGATGATGCTTATTTAGTAAGGAAAGTAAAAAGAAAACAAATAGTATTGGGCATACACAGACTCCAACAAGTGCAGGGTAATGGGATAAGACCAGAAGGAATAAGCCCTAATGGGGATGTTAATTACAGGAATAGTAGTAAAGAACCTGAGAGTGGATGTTACCGTGGCACAACACTAGTGAACAATGGGATAGGAAATGTAGAATGGCGCCAGTGAAGAGTAGAGGTGCCATAGGCACAATCAGAGAACACTATGAACATCAGAGGTTGTTCAGTATCTTCCCTAAACAAGAGCCGAACTGACTTGGCTGTAGTGGATATGTGGATCTGCTGGCTCCCCCAAACATCCTGTTGGACCAAACTCTTGACAAGTTGGGCCTGGCCCCAGGCCAGGCTTGGGAAGTTCAACTTCCAAAACATTATCCAGGTACTGGAAGCTCGCATGAACAGAATAGCATTGACTGCATAAGGAAATTTGACACAGTAATATCGTCTGGTGATAAAGGCAATAGTTGCTTCAAAATTCAAACTCGCCCATAGTGACAAATTTTAAGTAACATTAATTACTAAGCCTTCCTTATTGGCCTTGGAATACTACCAAGACCATTATTAAACTTTTTTTTTTTTTTTTGTACACTACCATCCTTGTCAACCTATGACCCCATCTGACGTTACTAAATTTTGTCATTAATTAATTAAAATAACTTCCAATACCTCCAACAATTGCCGCCATCACTGCATGTGCTTCCCCACTCTCTCAACCACCCTTCCCTCTGTCACCTCCCTTGTATTCATTACAGGTTCTCATCCTGAAATGTGCCAGCCTGGAGATACGTTTTATTGAATTTACTATAATCAAAATGCATATATTTTACAGTAAAGTATTTTTGTAATAAGTTTTCCCAATGTATGCTTTTCCAACTTTTAACAATTTATTTTTCAGGTGACTGGCAAATGTGGTTCAGTTTTGGTGAGACTCATCCCTGCTCCACGTGGTACTAGCATTGTTGCAGCCTCTGTTCCCAAGAAGCTTCTGCAGATGGCTGGTATTGAAGATTGCTATACCAGTGCCCGAGGACAAACTGCTACCTTGGGTAACTTTGCCAAGGCCACGTATGCTGCTATTGCCAAGACCTACGCATACCTCACTCCAGATTTGTGGAAGGAGACTGTATTTACAAAATCTCCTTACCAAGAATTCACCGATTACCTGGCAAAATATCACAAGATAAGCTCTGAACAGCGCCAGGAAACAAAACTGTATTAAAGTTTTCCCGTAAATAAAAGATCGGTGTAAAATTTCCTCTTCTTGTCCAATTTTTGTATGATTTATTGGGTACCTTTGTTTAGGTTTTATGCCAGATTATTTTGTCAATTGTCACGATTGCATGATAGGACATACGAGCATTGAAATTTACGTTAGCATTGAATTAAGAGGAATGGTGGATGATTGACTAGGGTTCTACATAAGTTGAGAATTTGCAGATTATTATTAATGCAAAATGTGCCGAATTAAATGTTCTGATGCTGCTGGGAGGTGCTTTGTAATAAAAGGTACATTGATAAAATTATGCATGGGAACTTGTGCAGTTTAATATAGGTTCTCTCGGAATGGTTTCATGTGCTATATTCTGAGGTTTTGTACACTTTATGAACCATTATTATAACATTTTGTGCGGGGCTGTTTGAAAAAGAGTGATACATGTATATAGTTGTAAATATAGAAAAACATAATATATAGTTGTAACTCATGGCGGTCATGAGTTACAAACTTACATGGCCGGTAAAATTTAATGATATTGGAAAGGTGTGTATTGAAAGGAAATAATGAAAATTGTTTAAGTGAAATAGCAAAAGGTTAGACAATTTTAGTAGAATTTAGTTTTCTGTAATATTTATGGGGGTTTAAAATTTGTTATCCCTCAAGTCTAAATCTGCAAACGCCATGCAAGTAAGAGTGCCCAGTCCTCGTAAGTAACGAATTTAAAAATTATCTTATTCCCTATTCTTATTCCCTATTCAAAATCATAAAGTACCTGATTTCACAAGTAATTTAAATTAAAAAGATTTATACAAGGTGAAAGTAGCTCGTATCAAGCAATGTGTTTCCAACATAAATACGTTATCCATATGTATTTTACCGTCATATAAATTTTAATACATAGTTACTATTAAGTACAGTATTTTTTATTTAGAGTACTTCTGATTTCCCACTTTAGTCTATGAATAAAATCTAAAGTAAATTGTTTCCTCTACATCCCAAGTTTTTTGCCTGCTCTCGTTTTGGCACCAGGGAAGACGTGTGTACCGTGGTGCACCGTAAAACAACCATGCAAAGTTCATAAGACCATCTTGAAATTTGTTTTATCCTAATAAAATAACTAACCTTGAGGAAATGTCAACCATAACTTTTAGAAGTTGTGCAAATGGCATCGGCATGGAAGAAATACACATGAAAAATTACCTTTTGAGTCAGAATCTACCAATCACAGAATTGCATCAAGGGGAGCCGAGTGAAATAAATGTCAAACGAAATATTGACTTAAAGGAAAAGAAGGTATAGTTGTACAACTTTATAAATCTGGCGTACCTCCACTTGACCTACTGTATCCAATCACGGTCGAGACCTCATCTTAAGAAAGACTCGTCTGTTTATGAGAAAGTTAACGCCGGGCGACTAAAATCATTCCTGAACAAAGTCGATCATACTAGGAATGACAACGTCACAGGGCTAACGACACTGTAAACCGGACATGACGGGGCTGATGTAAGGTTCCGGGTTCGATCCCCGGCGGAGGCGGAAACAAATTGGCAGTTTCTTTCACCCTGATGCCCCTGTTCACCTAGCAGGAAACAGGTGCCTGGGGATTAGACAGCTGCAACGTCTAACCTTAACCCTGCACCCTGGTGGTGCAGGGTTGCCAGATCCAAATTGCGGAAAGTAGCGAGCTGACGAACTAAAAGTAGCGAATTTGTAGCCCAATTTTTTTTTTTTTTTTTAGTGACTGATACGGGTTTCAAAGTACTGTAGTATATTTTGATATATAGAGTACACTACACGATGTTAATTGTTTTATTAATATTATTTCTGCACACACACACATATATATTTCTGTCGTACCTAGTAGCCAGAACGCACTTCTCACCTACATGCAAGGCCCGATTTGCCTAATAAGCCAAGTTTTCATGAATTATTATATCCTAACCTATAACCTAACTACCTATAACCTAACCTATAAAGATATTATAGGTTATATTGGTTAGGTTCGGTCATATATCTACGTTAATATACAATAAAAAAAAATATAATGAAATAGGTAGATAAGAAAAAAATTTGGGAAAATATTGGCTTATTAGGCAAATTTGGCCTTGCATAGTAGGCTGACAAGTATATACGACATATATATATATATATATATATATATATATGTCGTACCTAGTAGCCAGAACTCACTTCTCAGCCTACTATGCAAGGCCCAATTTGCCTAATAAGCCAAGTTTTCATGAATTAATTGTTTTTCGACTACCTAACCTACCTAACCTAACCTAACCTAACTTTTTCTGCCACCTAACCTAACCTAACCTATAAAGATAGGTTAGGTTAGGTTAGGTAGGGTTGGTTAGGTTCGGTCATATATCTACGTTAATTTAAACTCCAATAAAAAAAAATTGACCTCATACATAATGAAATGGTTAGATTTATCATTTCATAAGAAAAAAATTAGAGAAAATATATTAATTCAGGAAAACTTGGCTTATTAGGCAAATCGGGCCTTGCATAGTAGGCCGATTAGTGCGTTCTGGCTATTAGGTACGACATATATATATATATGTATATATATATATATATGTCGTACCTAGTAGCCATAACACACTTCTCAGCCTACTATGCAAGGCCCGATTTGCCTAATAAGCCATGTTTTCATGAATTAGTTGTTTTTCGACTACCTAACCTACCTAACCTAACCTAACTTTTTCGGCTACCTAACCTAACCTAACCTAACCTGTAAAGATAGGTTAGGTTAGGTTAGGTAGGGTTGGTTAGGTTCTGTCATATATCTACGTTAATTTTAACTCCAATAAAAAAAAATTGACCTCATACATAATGAAATGGGTAGCTTTATCATTTCATAAGAAAAAAATTAGAGAAAATATATTAATTCAGAAAAACTTTGCTTATTAGACAAATCGGGCCTTGCATAGTAGGCTGAGAAGTGCGTTCTGGCTACTAGGTACGACATATATATATATATATATATATATATATATATATATATATATATATATATATATATATATATATATATATATATATATATAACAGACCCCAACCAGTTGTGTAGCTGCAAGCCTAGCAAGCAAATGTCTCATCCAAGCCACACCAAGCACAAACCAAGCCCAACCAAATTCCCTCCCTAGCTCTGCTAAACAAACACAGCTTCAGAGCCCAACTAAACTCCATCCCTAGCTCTACCAACAAACCCTTCATTAGCCCAACCTAACAACCGCCCCCCCCCCTTGCCTTAACAACTTACTTTGGAGCCAAAGCAAACAAACAATTGAGCCCTATAAAAAAAGAAACCTGGAACTCTTGCAAAACTACAACAATGAAGCCCTAGAAAATAAACGTACTCAGCCAAAGCAAAGAAACTATGATGATGATCTAGCAATGAAACATGAGGCAATAGCACAAAACCCCTGGAGCACAACCATGCACGAACCGAAGCCCGACCATGAACAACCGGAAGCCCAAGTGACACCCCCGGAGCCCGACCAGTTATTTAACCAGAGCCCGACCAGTTAGTTAACCGGAGCCCGACCAGTTATTTAACCGGAGCCCGACCAGTTATTTAACCGGAGCCCGACCAGTTGTGTAACCAAAGCCCATGCCAGTTGTGTAACCGGACCCCGACCAGTTGTGTAACCGCAAGCCTAGCATGAACAAACCAAACAATCTCTGGATCACAACCATGCACGAACCGAAGCCCGACCATGCACAACAAGTTGGAGTGGCAGTAAAAAAGCAAACCAAACCCTGGGAATAATCATGCATACCTTTACCTTCAAGGAAAAGAAAGTAGACCTTCAATTGTATAAGTTTCTAATGCGCCCCCACATGAATTATATTGCATCCAGGCATGGAGACCTCATCTTCAGAAAGACAAAGCTGCTCTGGAGCCATGTCTTACCAGAGCTATGGAGCTATGTCTTACGACAAAAATCATACCAGAGCTTAGTCATCTGTTGTATCAGGAACGGTTGAGGGCCACAGGGCTAACAACACTGCAGGCCAGGCATGACAGGGCCGACTTCATAGAAACCTATAAAATACTAAACAATTTGGAGGATGTTGATCGGGACAATGTCTTCAAAAGGTCAGATGTTACACGAACAAGGAGCAACGGGTTCAAACTCAACAAGTCAGAATGTTGGACAGGAAACAGGAGAGGATTTTTCACCCATAGGGTTGTAAACCCGTGGAACCGCCTACCCGCCGAAGCCGTAAACGCCGAAACTCTTCTGGGTTTTAAAATACAGCTAGTAAAATATTAAAAAACAGCTGGAAAAAAATACAGCTGGTTTTAAAATGAGCCGTAGACGTCATCAGGGCAAATGGGGGAACCTTTGACAAGCCGCAGGCTTACTGTCCTCATCGAGGCCACTAGTGTTAGTGGCCCTCAGGTAAATTCAGTTCCTAGCTGGAGGGGTGTCCACGCTCCACCCTGTTGGGAAGTTGTTCATCTATTCCAGTATTTGTACACTGGACTGTCGCTTGTCACTAAACTTAGTTTTTAAAACTATTAACTTGATGAAATAATATTACCTTATACGCGAGAATAATTCTGAATATGCAGTGGGATAAAAGTGACGAATGTGGCTTTGGGTCGGGCGGCCGCGTAGGCGAGCCTGGCCTGAGGACAGGCAACTGTAAATGCTTCACCTTCCACATGTGTATTTGTGTATGTATATGTATGTGTATAAAGTATATATGGAAGCTGATCAGAATTACATTTCACCTTTGTAAATGCACATTAATGACACCATGTAAAAGATACATCGAACACTTTATGTCGGGCATACGTAAATCTGTGTATCTATTTATTTACGTATGTAGGTTAGCTTAGCATTTTAAAAGCACCGAATCACCTTCTGTGGTTGATTGTTCAATAAACCCCTATCTTGAGGTTATCTTGAGATGATGATTTTTAACCACGTCTGTGGTTAAAAAAAAAAAAAATTCCACATACTTCAAGTGCAAATAATTGCCAATAGAACCTAAATACCGAACCTACTATACACCTAATTAAACATAGAATATAAAACTAATTTATTCACGATAAAAACTATTTTAATACACAGTACATGAAAGTCGATAATAAATGTGTCTTGAGAGAGCCGGTCGGCCGAGCGGACAGCACGCTGGACTTGTGATCCTGTCGTCCTGGGTTTGATCAAAGGCGCCGGCGAGAAACAATGGGCAGAGTTTCTTTCACCCTATACCCCTGTTACCTAGCAGTAAAATAGGTACCTGGGTGTTAGTCAGCTGTCACGGGCTGCTTCCTGGGGGTGGAGGCCTGGTCGAGGACCGGGCCACGGGGACACTAAAGCCCCGAAATCATCTCAAGATAACTCAAGAAGAGTTGGGGGGGAGGGGACGACCGCCGCATTAACGAGCTTAGCCTGACGAAGGGGTGGTTTAACACTGGGAAAGTTTATTCTACATAATATCCTACCCCATATAATGTTGGCAAATCATGATCCTCAAAATCTGAGAGAGGACAGACTATTTAGCATTAGTGGAATACAAACATTTGAATACTACAGAACCTGGATGATAAAAAAATACGGAATAGCGAACAAATGTATAATGCATTAAGTGGAGGTTGACCATATATATAAATAAATATTTTCATGCGTACCTCCCAACTGCTCAGATAGCAAAAAAAAAAAAAATTATCAGCCATACCTACACGGGAACGACGATGCTCACACCGCCGCTGCTTCCTGACAACTGACGGGGTCGTAGTCAATGAACCGTAAGCGTCCAACCGATCCAGAGACCCTCTGCCTAAAATTATTTCAACGCCATATTGAAATTTCTATCGTATAGCGCCAGGAGTGTGTAAATTAATATTTATATATGCATTATAGGCCTTTCTAAAGTAATTTATAGATCTGAATGTCATATATTGTCTCACAAACGAATTATTGAAGTTAATATTTTAATTACGCCAGATACAAGTATCATCGCACACAAGAAGATTCGTCAGCGGATTTTTGTATTTTTTTTATTTATATATAAAAAAGAGTTCTTAAATTATTGTAAAGCCACTAGCATGCATAGTGTTTCGGGCAGACCCTTAATCCTAATTTTTTCCCCGGAATACGACCCGCCAAATCGTTTAACAACCTATTCTCTGCCGAGTGAACAGTTAAGGATTGTCGACCGGTAAATCCTTCCCGGCCAGCAGGTCAAAACGCTGGCGAAGAGTTTTACCACTGCGCCACAGAGACTGCTCCGTGGTGTAGTGGAATTTTGAATTTTGAAACCTAACCTAGCTCAACCCAACCAAACGTAACCCAAATCAAACCAATCTAATCCAACCGAGCCCAATGCAGCCTAGCCTTAATAACCGAACCTAATACAGCCTAGCAAAACAATACATCCGGATTTAAAACAGAAAATGAATTTAGCCGAATCGTCTCATGTCCGAAAGGACCATTTCCCGACCAATTGTGTAACCAGGGTCCGACCAGTTGTGTACCCACAGGCCTAGCAAACACCCCACCTAACCAGATAAACACCCCCTAACTCTACTAAGCACACCGAGAGCCCTACCATAGTAGGGAAGGTCCACAGACGAGAACGTGGTTGTAAGTATAGGCCTACAGGCATATGGGCCCCATGCAGTGCCCACCATCTGGGTGGGCACTGGGTGCCCACCCAGTGGGCAGTGCATTGCTTTGCTCGGAGAGTATAATGCTGCTAACACAGCCCTGTCTTCAATAAGCAAACGTTTCAGGATTATTTAATTAGCTAAGATTTACCTGAATTTACCAGAGGGTCACTCTCAGTGAGGATAGGAAGCCGGTGGCTTGTCAAATGTCTCCTTTTTACCCTGGTGATTTTATCGAGCAATGTTTTATCATTTACGGCTTCGTCGGGTAGGTGGTACCATGGTATCCCTGAATTTACTCGAGGGTGGCCCTCGGGCAAATTCGGGTATCTCTCTAGTGGTCTCGACGAGGTACTAACATTGGAGAAGTGGGTAGTACAAGATACAGTATGAGTTTGAAGCACCAGGTAAGAAACTATGAGGATAAGAAATGTATATGTTTATCTCTCAGAATGTTCGGTAATATGTTTATTGTTTGTGATGTGTGTCTATAGATGTATGAACAGGTTGTACTGAACGTGATGCGTGTTCTCCCATGGAGTTTCATCATCACTCATTGTTCACATTACTACTGGAGAAGGTGCAACACCGGCAACAAAAAGTATTCCAGTGCTAAGTCTCTCTCGTATCTGGAACGGTTCAGGCAACTGGGCTAACAACACTGCAAACCAGGCATAAGAGGGCGGATCTCATAGAAACTTTTAAAATACTGAACAATTTGGAGGATGTTGATCTGAACAATTTTTTAAAGGTCAGATGTAACACGAACACGAAGCAACGGTTTGAAGCTCAACAATGTAGGACTGAGAATAGGAGATGCTTTTTCATCCAGAGGGTTATTAACCAATGGAACTGCCTACCCACCGAAGCCGTAAATGCAAAAACTCTTTTAGGTTTTAAAATACAACTGGAAAAAATCAGGGGAAACGGAGGGATCTTTGACAAATTGCCGGCTTCTTGTTCTCGTCGTAGCCACTAGTGTTAGTGGCTCTCAGGTAAATTCAGGTAAATACTAGGCACTGTGGAGGATTCAGAGGTATTCTTGACTTGATTTTGCTAGAATTTAAATTTCATTTTTTGAGTGGGTTTATTATTTTATTCATTATTATCAATCAGAGAATATGTAAATGGGAGAAAGAAAATTATTGATCGACAAAACAAAACACACGACCTTTTTATATTAGTCTATCCAAAATTTAATTGATTTTTGTTGTCTAACGTTTCCGTTTTCTTACATGTCAAGCAACCCACACATTTATATCCACAAACAAATATTTTTGTTAAATATACAAATCCTTATCCAATTAAATACAATTTTCTTCATGATAAATATTAATATTTTAATATATAGGTAAAGGTAGATAATTTAGTGTGGGGTAAGGAAGTGTAAGTGAGAACTAGTTGAGGTTGGCGGCGAGGTTGTGGCAGCCTGACTCCATCCCCAGAGCCGTCGAGCAGCGAGCATCCCAGCATCATTATGAGAGGCAGAGGTAAGTCACCCTCATTTTACCATCCAAGCCACACATTTAGACTATATTTACTGAGGTATTATCATGCCGGCCATCTTGATGCCTTAGTGCGTGAGGGTAATGTGTAAATGGTAAAGTATGTGTAGCGAGGAACCAGTTTGGAGAAGATCGATGGTCTGCTGAAAGCCGCCATTTGCGTCGCACCCGGCCCGCTTTGCCTCCATTGTGGCAGCGTGTTTCTCCTCCGTGGAGCCCTGGTGAGCTGCCCACTCTTTAATATAGGCCGGGGACCTTCTAACTCTTAATTAGGCCTTGACGCGCGTGTGTAGCAGGAGTTGAAGGGAAGTTTAACCTGGCTTGAGCCCTGGTCCGGAAGACCGGCTTCCGCAACACTAAGACGCGGTAAAGTTTGGTCGCATGCGGCGGGACGAGAATTGTCTCCGGCCGTCTTGTACACTACGAGAAGAGCCGTAGAGAAGAGCGGGAAGAGTGGTGTGTGAAGGGCACAGTGTCGGGCAGGGGCGTGTCCGGAATTTAGCTATGGGACGACGTCTCGTGGACAGGAAGCCGGCGGCTTGGCTCAATAATACCCCTCTCCCACCTCCTCTTTTATCCCTGATGATTTTTTCTCTACCTTTTATTTCTTTGGCAAGTAGATAATTCCTCATGGGTGAAAAAACACAAATGTGTACTATATTATCTTGTTGTGGTTGAAGCTGTTACTCCGTGTGTAATATGCCTAATTGTTACATTGTAAGTTTTAAAGAAGTGGTTCGAATTGTCTTAATTTGGTCTGCATTATAAGTCTGGCTGATCCTGTCATTGCCGCTTTGTAATGGTAGTAAAGAGATCCTTGACCATTCCTAATAAGAACTTGCTCCTGGGGTGATCTTTGTTGCCGCATTGAACTAAGATGCCGAGATGCATGTTTGAAGGTGGTCTCCACGTTTATGTGGGGCATGGTTATATTGCACCCAGGCAGGTTTGTGCACGATTTGCATTCAGGAATTTGGGTTCAAAACCCAGGCGGGACAGAAATGGTTTGGCATGTTTTCTATCACCTAATGCATCTGTTCTAGCAGTAAATAGGTACCCAGGAGTACCCAACAAGCAGTCAGCTTGCTGTAGGGTTGCATCCTGCAGAGGGTCAGTCATTCGACCTTGGAGAGGACCTCAATATAAGCCTAACATATATAAGTACACTGGCTGCTTGTCCCTCTAACACAAATTATTATTGTTAGGATATCTTGGGGGTTTAATTTTTTTTTTGGGGGGGGGGCTATTAATGCTGGTATCGGTTCAGTTTCTTTGGGTTCGGTTAGGTAAGGTCGGGTAAATGTTGGAAGGTACCAAGCCCAGAAGACTTGTAGGATCTCTGTAATACATATGTTTTCAAATCTGCTGGTGAAGTGTGTATTATGTGATTTGTTTTCCTTGGCTTCAATTTGCCAGATAGCTTTGCACCAAAGAATTGTACAGCTTAAATGTCACGTAACGAACTTTTGACTTAAAAAAAATGTAACTTGATTTTTCATAAACCTATGGTATGATTGTGCATAGATGTTTGTAATATACCCTAAATGCAAAACATCTAATTTTTAAATACTCGTATCATAGTGTTTGCCAGTCTCTTGACTATTTGTTTATATAGGTCACTTGTAAGACCTCAATATTGTTTACATTTTCCACTTTACCATGGAACTTTGTCACTTCCAAATTTAATGTGATTTGTAATGTTCTAATCTAGATACTCTATATAACTTAGAGCTGGGCCCAAGATGGAGCCTTGTAGTTAAACTCAAATTTGTTTCCCAATTATTCATGTCCATTTAGGATGACCCTTTTTGTTTTAACCATGGTTTTATTCTGGAGTGAGATATGGGTGGAAGTGTAGAGTAGACCCAGTACTCACCTTGTAAGAGTAGAGTAGTACTCACCCTGTAGAGTAGACCCAGTGATTTAGTGGAGGTGCCATAAGCACTCGTGAGACCTTCGCCTTTTCAACCTACCAGCCAGTATAGTAATTTAAATATTGCCAAAATAAAGGTTGAAGCGTTAAAAGACAGATTGTTAATGCAATTGTTGTCTGATCGGTCAGGTTTTGATGGCTTTGTGGGGCTGTCCTGGTGCCAGCAACAACCTTACTGATTAAGTTGCATTACTGTATCACCTCCCCCCAAAAAAAGCCTTACCACTGGTTGAGGTGTGAGTGGAGAACTCTTAAAAGCAGCTACAGGTAAGAAGTACAGTAATTAGAAAGATTGTTATAGCCTTTACTAAGTAGGGTCTAAGACCTGCAGAAAGTTGAACCTGGTAAAGGCATTGCCACTAAAGAAACCTAACCGAACCTAATGAAACATTTTTAAAATTGTTTTACCTAGGTATGTGATCTAAGATCAACAAAACTAAAACCATAGTTTTAATGCCAGTGCAGGCTTTGGATGCTTCTGCTTTGACTGCTATTCTATCTATAAAACCTCCCTTTAATTCAATTGTCTTATTTTTACTATAGTTTTGCACTTAGCTCTTATGAACTTCACAGTATTGTATATTTAAAACCTGGTTTAAGGACTGATTGTGTACTGTTGTTTATCAAGCACATAAACCGTATTGTTAACTTGAATGCTGTATGGTTAAGATGGAAGTAACACTTAACAAAAACAAAAATTACTTCGTATTTGTTACATTCACTGTGCTCTATTTATGTAAATAATTTTATTTAAAATTAAAGCCTAGGTTGGGAAAATCATTAGTAAAAAAAATTACTAGTCACTGGAAATTTTAGTCTAAAAATTAATTGTAGAAGGAAGTTGTTACACTAGCTCCATGTCTCCAGGTATTTGGAGTCTTCCATCGAGAGCTGCCGAAGAGTCAAGGAATCGGAGATCAACATAGTTCAGCGCTGCAATAGCGTATGGTTCCATTAGCATAACCGGTTTATATAAGCACTGAAATGTAGTTTTAAATTTTGCCTAGCTTTTAAAGTGGCTATATTTTAGTACAATATATTATATACAGTAGTTTGAGGGGTTTGGTTGATTACACAGTTGGCTATTCAGATAAGTCTCCCAAAACTGCATGGGTCAGGACTAAAAACCATGGCGATTACTAGATACAATTTGTAGAACCGAGATATCATGCATTATAATTTATAGTACTGTACAGTTATGAAGCACACTGAAATTACAGTAAAATATGTAATAACAATATACAATACACTATTGTGCTGTACTATCTAATTAGGATAAAATTGCTGTTTGTTGAACATGCAAGTATTGGCATTCAAATGTGGAATTCAAAATTGAAAGATTGCAGGTTTTTTTAACCTAAGGTATAAATTAAAAGATTTTTGTAGTAATCATAATTACCTAACATTAAACATTTTGTTTCTAGCTAATCTCCACTGTCTGGCTGACTGCTATGCAGATGCTAGGTGTTTGGCCCTGTTTCCTTTATTTCCTTTATAGTTTTGGTATGTATGTACAGTACTGTATATGTAAATGTTTATTGCAATACATAAATTTTAATGCCAGTCCACTGGAATATTTATTTTACAACACACCAAATACAAGGACAAAAAATCAAAGCATAAATGATACAAATTGGGAGCGCTTGGATTTAAATAGATTATTAAGTAAACATTTGTTTGGAAAGAGGGTCATAGATGTTATGGAACAAGCTACAATACTGGGCAACCTGACACGTAGTGTTGCTGGGTTAAAGCATATGTACGGCACACATTAGTGGGATGGTTGTATGTGTGCAACAGCAGCCTTGCATCGGACACTAAGCTTGGTTGTCTATTCTTATGTGCTAATGCGGGGGGAAAATAGCAGATTGCATAAAAATTTTGGTGGTAACACAATAGTATTTGTCATCCATCGTGAATTGTTGAAAAGGAACTTGCACTTTAGTTATCATTGTAGGACTGTTGACTAAACCACACACTAGAAGATGAAGAGGAGACGATGTTTCAGTCTGTCTTGGACAATTATAACCCACAATGTACCTTCTTGTATATACTGTATATAAATAAATAATAAATAATCAAGTCATCATCTCATCATATTCAAATGTGTGGTTTGGTCAACATTTCTTCAGTCATGTTATTGTGACATCATGTGCATTGTAGGCTTGATTGTAGTAGGCCTAGTTGAGGATCGGGACGCTAAGCCCCGAAATCATTGGAAGGTAATTGCAAGGTTATCATATAGCCAGAGTTCCTGAACCTCTGGCTATGATCCAGCTGTTAGTTTATGCTGTAAAATCTCATTGGGGGGGGGGGGAAATATGACCCTAGGTGGGAAAATAGTGAACAGTATTGTTTATAACTACACTTATTATAAAAGAACTGTACCAAAACATTGTCGGTTAAGGCAGCGTCTGGGATCCTCTCGGACATAGGCTCGAACTCTCATCACAGCCCTTGTGGATTGGTTCACTGTACCTAAAGTTACTGTACAGTAATTTGCCATTCTTTTCATAAACTATTTTATATGTGCCAGTTGTAGTAACAAAAGCTTTGGAGATCACTTAAGTGTTCTTGCCATTAGTTGAATAATAAGCTGATCTTATACAAGTAATATTTCCTTGATGGGTCATTTGTTTTCTGGCTCTGAAGAGTGAATGTTACCTTGTGATCTTGGGCTGCTTAGTCTTGAGCCTTCTCCAGTGCTTCCCCTGGATTAAGATGGTCATAAAGAAGCCATTCCTTTGCCCCTTTATCTTGTCCCTTCAATATATCGTAGCGAGGCTCTGAATGGATATACTGTACTGTATTGTATTTATTCACCAGTTTATTTAAATGTAGGTTTACTTATATTGCACGGCATATTTCAAAATTAAATCTAGGTTGTTAAAGGCCTTGTACTGTTGTCTATAACTTTAAATTTAATTCACCCTGGCTCATCACCCAAAATAAGTCTTAGTGTGTTTTCTAAATGTACTTCAGGTAAAATTTAAAATAATTGGATTTGGCTATGTCAATTGTACCCATTCAATTATTATTTTAACCTTGAGTATCCAACCTATTTTACTCTAAATAAAAGGTCATTGATAAAGACACAGGCTGATGGCCATAATAACATTAGGGTACCCTGCGTGCCTGTAGCTTGCATCTTGGCAACCCAAGCTTGCTAAATTTTTATTTTCATCTGAAAATACTGTAGCATAATTTGTTGGTTTCTTGTGGGACCAGTGTTCTGCTACATCATACTCACTCAATATTTCACCTTTCTTGGGGTCTTCTGTTTTTCACCTTTGTCATCATCTTTATCTGCCCAAAATAGACAAATAAATGCAATATTGTATAGTTCTGTTTAAAGAAAGTTAATTTCCATGAGATTTTCCTAGTACAATACTATAATTGTGTAATTTTACATTAAAAAGTATTGTTCCAAATGTGTACTGTATTATAGATGTGTATATTAAGAAGTTGTCTATTTACATGCTTAATTGTTGCATATTTAAAGATGTTCTAGCAATTTTTGGGTTTAGTTTCATTAAATGCTGCTGGCACAAAGGAATATTTATACAGTATATGTATGTTTCTGTTGACTTGAACGTCTGCAGTACAGATCTGTAAAGTAATCTTTAACCCCCTGGGCAGTGCTGCTAATTATAGCTGACAACACTGCTATGCACAAGAAAAAAATTAAATTTTTGTTGTTCAAAGATTGTTAAAATGTTTTCCTCTGATCACAGGAAAAATAATAAAAAGATCATGGGTGACATATTTTGGCTGCAATAGGACGAGGAAGTCTGGCAAGATTCAGATGCTGATAGAGTAGGCATTCGAGGTCGGTCTCCTTCACCCGAGCTGTCAGGCGAGAGTTGCCACAAAGATATTATTACCTAATTATTTCAATGTCTTAATTTTTTTTAGTGATATTATTCAATAGTGTGTAGTGTGATATGTTGTGTATATTAGTGATTCGTAAAACAACGAAAAATATTTTTGCTGTTATTATACTACATACACATTGTAAGTACAGTATCTGCATGTTTTGTTCACCATAACGAACTACTAAGCTGGTATGGTGTATCGAAACAGCATAGTGGCCACCAACACACCAGCCAGCAGATGACGCTATCTCACTCGCCCACATTCCTCCTCCCACTACACTGTTTGTGTTATTACACAATATGCACATGTTATATACTGTATAGGTATCTACATGTTTTGTTCACCATAACTATATAACTAAGCTAGTATGGTGTCCATACATCATAGTGGTCACCATACACTGCATGACAAGTCACACACTAGCCAGCAGACGACATCATCTCCCTCACCAAAATGGCTACTCCCAGCATACTCTTTTTGCTGTTATTACATTACTGTATATACACACGTTATACACAAGTACAGTACTAGTATCTACAATTGTGTTCACCATAACAAATCATTAAACTGGTATGGTATAACAGTGGCTGCCACACACCAGCCAGCTAATGCTGCCTCCTTCCTCACCAAAATTCCTACTCCCACCATACTATGCCCATAACTAATTATCACCACAATGCTGCTATTATCAGAGTTCTGGTCACTAAATCCTGTAAATGAATAAGTTTCCACAAGCCTATTTTGTAAAGGAACATAAGTCGTTTCAAGATTCTTAGATGGACCAAACAATAGCATTGTGCTGTGGCTAGTGCTGTGAAAATCTTCAACAGCATTGTGTTCACTGATATCTGAACATTGTACACAGTCTTTATTACAGTCAAGATCTTGTGTAATACTGTCATCACTAAATGATAGCATTTGCATATATATTGGATTTTTTTGGCGATGCTGTGATTTAGGCGATTTAGGCTGAACAGCAGTGCTGTTAGCTCATACTGCGTACGCCAGCCTTTGTTGCTCACTCAGTACTGAGGCTCTCACACCTGGGAATGTTAGCCACGATTTTTTTTAAATAGCATCTGTTTACTAGAGCCCTGAGGAACCTGATGTGAACCCCCATGTAGCCGCAGAACTTTAAAATCTTACGCACTACGTTAAAATGTATATATATACGATATGTGGTGTGCAGGCAGGCAGGCAGACCAAAATTATATATACTGTATACAATTTTCACTGTTAAAGGGCAATTTCATTGTGTAGTTTGCGGTTTGGTGTTCTTGTTTGACAGTCATGTGTGATCATGTAGTCATACATTGATTGTATCTAATGACCTCCATAGTAATATTGACAATGAAAGCTTCCCTTCAAAAAATCTACTGTGACTTATGTCCAAGATATCTCCTCCTTGGATGTCCATGATCTAGACATAACACAGCAGCTCTTACCTTGAGTAAATTGTGGCTTACTAAAGGTTCTCTGAAAACATTTATTTTTCTTCATGCTATTTCCAATGCTTCTAAATCATTTCCAATTGTTTGCCTTGACTTATTTTGCTTCACACTCGCACTGATGAAAAATTATAATAATTTATCTATCATTCATCATTCTTGATTATTGGCTGCCATAATGCTTTTCTTTAGATGTACATAGCTTGTAAATGTTCTAAATAGGTACATTATAAAACCTAATGTATTTTTAAAACAATGTAATTTTAACATTAGGTCGTGGTCGTGGTAACTGGCGCTCTTCTGCTCCCCAAAACGATTCTCCACCCCAAGTTGACCCATTCCCTGCACCAGCAGTGAACGATCGGCAACCCCCATCAATGGACTACTATCAACAAAATAATCCAGCTCCACCTCTAGACGTTAAAATGGATGTTGCTAATGAGGTGAGTGATTAAAGAAAAATTTCCAATCTCTCCATTTTCTGTTTTTTGTTGTTTTTACAGTACAGTAGGAACTCAAAATATTGGAAACTTTACAAATTCAGGTATTGGGTAGTCTAGCAGATACCAGAATTCTGGTCTGTCTACTGGGAAGAATGACCAAAACTCTAAAAAAAATTAAATGGAAGAAACCGGATTGTCTAGGCATTAATTCTCTAACCACGTTTTGAATTGTATTCGACAATTTTATATAGTAAATCATTTTATATTTGGATACTGCTTAATTTGTGTAAGGGATTATGCCTGACGGAATAGTCTGACTAGACCAGTTAGGTTGAGGTGGTACACTATCTTAAGTATGAACAAAATGCTAAGTTAATGTAGAAAATGTCATGGTTAGGAAGTCAGCAGTTCACTATGTGAATTGGGTAGTGCCCAAGCTACAGCTGTTCATGTTTCTTAAAAGTGTATTTGGGGACTTGTGTATGTTCTAGAAAGCTAAAAGTATGAGCAGCCTGGCTGGTCATGCTGTCAATGATGTCTGTTCAGAATCAGTCACAGGGACAATATTTCTCAATTCAACATGAAGTAATCAACTTGTCATATGTGAAAGGATCTAAAGTACATATTTTCAGATATGTAGATGGTGCATCATGAGTAGTGCCACAAATAAATAAATGGTTTAACAATGCCCAATTTTCTGAATCATTCGTACTGCACACTTACACATTCCTTCCCTCTATCCAACTCTTTGCCCCATGTTGTCATTTCTTTTCACTTCTATGTTTGACAAATTGCTGATTTCAGGTTCCCGTGTCTGATAGTGACACCTCAATGCAGGAGGGAGAACAGCAGCCAGAAAACAGGAAACGTCCCTGGGAGAAGCCAGGAGGTAGGGAAGAATGTCTGTTTCGGTCCTCTTGCCATAATTTCTCTCCTTGACTTGATGTCGTTTGGAGTGTCCCTCTTGAAAATGAAAACTTTCACTGACTTGCTCATTTGAAAATTTTCATTTAAATTTTTATAATTATGTAATTAATAAAGTTAATATAGAGAAGTAGCATGCAAAATGAACCTTTGTGAAAAACAGAATTTTAGCAGTAGAAATGAACAATTATAGAATGCAAATATGAAATGTAAAGTCAACAAAGAGAAGGACTGAATTGTATAATGAGATAGTTACAGTATATATATATATATATATATATAGATGGATAATGATTGAATAGATTATATGAAGTGAATTTAACTGTACAAGAGGAATGTGGGTTTCACATTGGCAATAGTGTGAGAATGTTGGGGTGTGATGGGAAGTTGTGTAAAAGATATAGTAAGGGACATGACTTGGTGGAATTGCTTTCTTAAAAGGGAATGAATGTATTTGTCGTACATAATTTGCAATGAGAACAGTGTAAGTGTTGGAGTTTTTTTTCCAATGCTGTATATTGTAGCAAGTTATCAGTTGGAAAGTTCATATGTGTATAAAATATCTATATCCTTTCACTATATTGGTCCCATCTTTGAGCTGATGGCCCCCATACTCTTTGAAAATGAGAACTGATGTAATGTATGTGTAGTGTATGTATTAGTAGAATGTAAATCTTAACACAAGAAATTAGTACAGTAATTGTATTTCTAAATGCCATAAGAGATGCTTTGCTTTTGTAACTTTCTAATTTTCTTTCAACAAATTGGCAAGGCTTGCACCAAGAATTTCCAAACAGCATTAGGTAGTGTAATGTATCAAGGACTTCATTTTACACATGCCAGCATAATAAAGTTAAAAGTTTGTGTCTAGTTATAGATACTGCTTTTAATTTGTACAGTTTAATAACTAACTTTTTTTTACTTAGATATTTCCTTTGACCACTGTATACCGGGCCTAGCAGTGTTTGTACAGCAGTATTTTCCAAAGAGGAAAGGTTTTCTTAAATAGAGGATATAATTTTTAATGTAATATAATAGGCATGGTATTTATTTTCACTCTTCTTTGTTTTGACAGCGGGCTAGTTTGATGGCTGTGCAAGGTCATCTTTGGTCCCATGACCTGTTATGTCTCCTCACGACATTAGTTAATTGTAGCACTCCAGAAAGCCAGCGGGGGATTCTGTTGTAGCTTTGCTGTTAGCAAAGATGTGTGTAGGTTTATCTTCAGATTCAGAATGGGATTGAGCAAGAGGTCCCTCGCTGGCTGCCATGCATGAGGCTGGGTGCATACGTAACAGTCGTAGAGACATTTTCAGAGACTTTTAATTGAAGCGTGTTGCCCACACTTGTCATGGATGTCTGACTGAGGTGGGAAGTACGCCAGGTACTGAATCCTACCCAGTCATTCCACCTAAATTTTATTGTGATAATCTAGCATGCAAATCTGAACACAGTGAGTGAGGAGGTATTTTATGTCTAATGGCCTTAACTTTGCTTAAATCTCTTAACTTAGTACTGTATCTTATTGTTTTCACTTGCAAGCTAAGGCAGGCTGGTTTTCATGTCAATGGCAAGTGTGTTGCGACTTTTCAATTAATATGTGGTGGCAGGCATCAAGATCAAGAGAAAGAAGGTGCCAGGAGCCAAGAATCTTAAGATCCGGAGGTATGTGCAGCCTAAGAATGCAGTTATGTGCCTCAACGAACTTCGGCCTGGAGTGACGTACACAACGGAGCAGGAGGGAGGAGTCGGTCAACCATTCTGTATATCTGTAGAGGTATCTAATGGGGTATGTCAAGTATTGGCCAATTATCAAGGATATGATAGGCTAATTAATTTTTGTTTTTAGAATTAAGTAGGGCAAAGATTTAATTGAGGCAAGGTATAGAACCTGCCCAAAAGCACTTGTTGGTATGAGTTACTAAAGATGGCTGTTAATCACTGCCAGCCACCCATCATGTGAGTCTTTTGCAAAATCTATTTTGCAAAAGACTTGCATGAAAGAAGACTAAGACTCTCAAGACTAAAGAAAATGTAGGTAGTTATTAAAATATTCCCTGTCTACCTATTTAAAAGTAATTGGAGTCTTACTTTGATAGTGTGAATATAAAGTTCCTAATACAGTAATTTTATTGTACAAACCCTGCTCAATATTTAATTTCAAAACTTCTTTAATATACTGTGTTTTGCACGAACAGTACTTGGCCAATATCAAAGTGCTTGAGGGTATTAAGGATTAACAATGGATTATAGAACATATGAACCTTAATAAATGGCCTAACCATAACAAACAGTGCTTCTCCTAGTGCTTGTAACTGCATAACATTTATTATTAACATTAAGTATGTCCATTTATGTACTGTTTGCAGCACGGAGTTCTCAAACTTGGGTGCTTGAAGAACTCCTGGTGTGTGAAATGAGTGTTCCAAGGTTGCTCTATTAACTAGAATAGTCAGTAAAGCAATCTTTTGAACATTTACACTAAGAACACCAGGGGTACACATTTCCAAGTATGAATAAGCCTGCTTTAGTTTAACATCTTTATTTTATGCAGTTGCAGCATACACATTTATATTTAAATACATTATACTGAATAATTGCTAGTGTAATGTACAAATACTGTATGCCAGATAAATATAAATACGGTATGGGTGCTTTTGTCATGTGCTGATTGTTTTCTCGTGTCTGCTTGCTCTGATGAATACCGCTATTCATCCGATTCTGGTGCTTGAGCTATGTTCAGTTCCAGTAACTTGCACAATACTGTACGTGTATTGTAAACATCATGTAGGGAAATGAGAAATGATTATTAGTTTAACCCCCTTTGACTATGAGAATATAAGTAGCAATGCTTGTTTCCCAAATGTATTAAAATCAATTTTTCCACCCTGTGACATTTGTCCAGACATCTGGCCATCGGGATAGAAGTTTAAGTCGGGTAAGCAGATGTTCGGTAACAGAGGGAAATGTGAAAAGATCTGGTTGATTGTTAACCCATCATTGTTGCAGACTGTCATTATTATGGGTGTTATAATGATTAATGGTAACCATAAACAACAGTTTTTATTTAGATTTAGAATTTAAAAGGACAATGATATGGAATAAGGGCCAAATTCATTGTTCTAAAATACTGTACATGAAATTCCTTGGTGCTGTTCTTGGGTATTTGATATTGAAAGCATATGTTGCATTTACATTTTTTTTCTTTCATATACAGTATTTGTTCCTATGGCAAATTCCATAATGTAAAGTTATTTAAAAATAATTATTGTAACATTTCAATTTTATTTTTATGTAAGTTTAGATTAAATTTGTTAGTGGTGTTCCAAATGTATAGAGCATCATAAATATAATTATAGAACATGCCAAGGAATTGTGTGTTTGGGTTTCAAAATGCAGCACAAACAAAATTTCTCAGATTTTTTGCCCTGTTGATTTAATTCCCAAATGAAAAAAAATTATCTCTTATATTTACAATCAATAATTATGGGCCTCAAATTGGTGAATTGTCTTTAATAAGAAAATAGCTTTAATTTAAAACTTTCAGAACAGTACAGTAATTGAACAATCCTTAATTTTCATAGAAATGGGTAAGGTGCATGGTTTTTTAATCTGTAATTGGCAATTTTGGCACTAGTATTTTTTTTTTAAGGCACTTGGATCGGAGTCGCACATAGTAAAGTTGGCCCTTTTTCATGGGTTCAATCATTTGCCCATTTTGTGGCAATTTAGTTTCCTAAAGAAAAATTTTGGATGAAAAATAAATGAAGATTTAATGACTAATGCAGTGTTTGTCAGGAACTTTCTCACCATGTAGTGTATCTCACGTTTTTCATTGCTTCTGATATAAAGATTATATACATTCCAGATTCTTATAGAATGACTAGCACCTGTTATGTATTATGTTTCATATTACATGTATTGTATTCATATTTTGAACACTGCATTTTATTTCAAATGCAAATATTAACCAATATTGTTCAATAAGCTTAAAATAATTGCTAAAGGGCTTAGATTTCTAATGCTAACATGACAAAAACACAATAGGATGGAGGAGAATGCACAGTAAATTAAGTGACTTTGCTTGAACAAATTCAATATTTTAGTTATTAATGCTAAGCTAAAAATATTATTTAGCTAAAATATTATTTTGGTTATTAATTCTCGGCTTTATAAATGTTGACATTTGATCATCTTTAATATTTTTACAGTATATCTTTAAATGTTTAGCAATGAATCTCAATACTCATTAGTTTCATGTGACTCTTCTTCCTTCGTAGGTGGACACTCAAAAATATAGAGGCTTTGGGTCGTCTAAGCAACTAGCGAAGCAGGCAGCAGCAGAAGCGGCACTAATAAGCTTTGTGAAACCACCCGTCACTGCAAATTCTACAGAAAATCAAGAGGAAGATAAAACCCCTTGGGCTACGCTTGCATCATTTGCCATATATAAACTGTTTAACGATTGGCGTGAGGGTAGAGTTGGTATGTGCCCTCCCCCTGCCCAGCCTTACGGCACTGCAGTTCCACCTGGTAAGAATTTCAGATTACATTGTATTGCAGTGTAGAGGCTTTTTGCAATTGTTTAAGATTAGTTGTAGTTTATATCCTGCACTGCACACCTGTTTTTGACAAAAACTTCATAGTGCAATTGTTAAGGACATATTTTTGTTGGTTTTTATCAATATTCAGGTAAAGTTAAATGTCAAAATGTTTCCAAACTAGACCATTTTTTATTTCAAAACACAAAAGAGTGATGAAAACATTAAAAAAAACATTAAAATATAGCCTAATTAAAAAAAAATAGTACAACTCTCAGAACGAGATTTCTCGATTGGCGCAGCACAGTGGTTAATCATAAGAGTATCTTTAATTCTTGTGTTCCCTACATAATGTATAGAAGTATGTGTCTGACCAAAGTAGATGGCCAGACAGTTGGGGCTAGCTTAGACCAACATTGAAGGGTGACATATGGGTGTGGAAGTGTCCTAGGTCAGGCGGGGTTAGACTCTGTGCCACCCTTGAAGAAATAGTGTCCTATAGTGACTTGTGTGATTTTATGAAAGTTAAAATTTGGTTTTATTTCCCGTAGCGTTTGTAGCAGTTTTTCAATGCTTCATAGTGTTGAGCTTTGTAGGGGAGCATGGGGGGGGGGGTATAATACAAAAATAGGTAAAAAGGCAAGGTAATTATGAGGAGAAATTGCTAATTAGTGTCTCGTGTGTAACTCTTAAGAGTTAATGAGTTACTATAAAAGTGTTTAGTGTACCATTATTTGTAAATGTTGTGAAAGGCATCATTTATTACTGCCAATGAGGATTTCACTGGTATGCTGATAATAGCACATACTGTGTAGTAATAAATTGCAAATGTGTGATGAAAGTGACAGTAAGAGGGTATTACTTTACTTCATCACTGAACTACACACTAGTAAAGCCTAACAGATTTAGTTGGCCAGGTAGTGCTTATCCCGACTGGTGGGAGGGGTGGATTTTGCTGCTGGGACACCAGGTGCATCTCCACTCAAATGCATTGACACCCCTCCCTTACCTTGAGGTGTTTCCGGGGCTCGGTCGTCGACCAAGCCTCCTCGTTGCTGGACTGGTCAACCAGGCTGTTGAACGCAGCTGCTCACAGCCTGACGTATGAGTCACCCTTACATGCATTCACTCCAGATATCTCGCCATTATGCATTCCTACTTATAGTTGGGGTAAATATAGCACTAATCCAGTTAGTATATTATTGAAATCATAAGATGTGCCCAATTGCTCCATTTTCGTAGAAACTAGTTGCTTCTTACCTTGCAGGATTTCAAGCATTCCTAAATCAGCCTGTCGGAGGAGGAAGTGCAGTCAAGGAGGAGTCTCCACAAGCTGCTGCATTTGCTGAAGCAATATGTGCTCATCTAGGAGGTCGTGCACCTAGTGCTACTGGCACTGATGTGAAAGTAAGACGATGGGCTCTTCATGCCATGTATAATTTGAGCAAATGAATATAGCCACTGCTCTTTAGACAATAGCTCTTTAGACAATTTAGACAGTGTATCAGCATTTATGAATGCTCTACTTTCTAAATGTTTTGGTGTAATATTGCTTTATTATTCACATTTATTCTGCTTGGTTTATGCTTCTATGAGATGGGTTAATTTCTTTACTTTTTTTTTTTTTTAGCCGGATACAAATTCAGCTTTCCAGGCGACAGAACCTGTGAAAGTTCCAAATCCAGCCAAGCAAGTCCCTGAAAATGCTGCCGGAATGCATCCTGTCATGGTCCTGCATCAGATGAAACCTGGGTTGCAGTACACAGTTTCTCAGACAATGCGCGAGGGCAAGACATTCTTTAGTGTTACGGTTGACATTGACGGGAAGGAGTTTGTTGGAGAAGGTAGGCATTTCATGCTGTTTCTTTATTATTTTAAGTTGCATTTAGACAGAAAAGATGGTTTAGAATCAAAACAATTCATTTGATCATTATATACATTTTAAGATAAATGCTTGTGGTACTTCTCTGAACAGAGCTGGCCATTTTCTAGATAAAAATGTGCAATAAATATTTAGTTTTTATACTCTTTTGTCATAAAAATTGGTTTATAATGTTATATCCTCATTAAGAGTTCTAGTGAATTTGGGCTCTTACTTTTTTCTGGTAAGTTGATATGAATACAGTATACCAGTAATATATACTGCATAATTTACTGTGGAATGATCTGCAGAATGTCTGATTTATCAGTCGGAGGGGATGGAAGTAAAATTAGTAATGGTATAAATTCCCATCTTTTTCTTTCAGGACCAAATGTGAAAAAAGCAAAGTTCTTCTTGGCCAAAGAAGCAATATCAGGACTGTATGGTGTCGAGTCAACTTTTGAAACACCTGCCTAATTTGGCAACACATGACTTAAGAATGGTGTTTTCTGCCATTCTTAATTTTGAATAAGGTAACCAAAGTTGTACAGTGATGTTTGTCACACTTTAATCATTAGAGTATCCCACAAGCGTATAAATTTGCTAGGTAGCCCGTTACCTACAATGATGGCACTTGATAGCTATTGTAGACCCTTTAAAGTTTGGCAATGAATTTTAATAACCCATGTGAATCAAGTTGATCAGTTATGTTACTGTATAAATACTTAAAAATTATCTAAGAGGTAAATAGTTATTTGGGCAGTTCATAACACATGGTTTGCTTTTTATAAGCAATTTGATCCTGATAAAACTTGCTGTGCTTATGTACATCACAAGATAATGGAATTGGTCAATTTCATTTTTGTTTTATTTAAATATCAATGTTCATTTTCTTACTCTAAAGAATGTCTCTTACCAAATAGAAGTGAATATTCTAATGAATGTATTTTCTATGTTTGAAAAGTATGAAATAGAAAAATTTAGGAAATAAAAAATAGTAAAATTGAAGACTTTCGTTATTGAAATTGAAGACCTACTTTTATCATGTCCATGAACTCACTTCTAAGTATCTGTGTAGTGGAAAGTTGAAGTGAACCCAGAAATTGTTGAATCCTATATGGAAAGGACTGCTCTTTAAATATACTGTACATTGGAAGGTCATTAACTTGATTATAAGGGGTTGGCTGAGCAGTAGATACCCACACAGTGCCCGGGATAGTCTCTTCCGATCCCTCATTCCATTTCTACCCTCACCCCCGTCTTACCTCTTCCCCCTCTCGTGCCCCCTTCCATTTCCACATTCGAACAGTGACATTCACCTTCTATTTCCCCATAACCTTTACCTTCCCATCCCCTTGGTCTCGCTTTGTTCTCGCCAACCTGCCATCGTCTCCCAACCTTTATCCACCTTTTTCCCAGCTTCCCAAAAATTAAACTCCATTAATCATACAACATATCTTACACTATACCCCATGAAAAGACTTGAAAATGTTACAAGGTATTTATAATGCTAATACTGTATATCTTAAAGCATTTAATTTAGGCCTACACTGGCCAGCCTGTCTGTTCAATGAACATGCAAGATTGATACGTGTACATGGGTGGTTTTAAATTGCAGTATGCAAAGGAATGAAGCCAGATGTTCGAGCAGTACTTTCTATGAAGTGCAGAACTTTTAGGCATCAACAATAAAACTCATAACAAAAGTTGATGAATATTGAAGACAAAAAGTAATTCGCCTGGAACCGGTGGTTATGTAAAATGATACAAAGCACTTATATGGCGAGTAGTGGCATAGGTAACTTCAAACCAAACTGCGGAATTATGAAGCCAATTAAGCTGGCCATGGGCGGCATTGATATGGTAAAACTAGACCCAGGTTACTATAATGCAAAAAGAGATCGCTGGTGTTTATCCGTCGACTGTTTATTAATGTACGTAGTAAATACCCTAAAATATCTGGAGCCTGTCCCCAGACTTTCTTCAGAAGCTCGTACAGCCAATGCAGGCAGTAATCCCATACCTGGTGTAGATCCGATATTGCTGTACATCATAACAGATTTGACAATTTTGTTGAGTTTCAGCCGTATAGTTGAGTTGACTAATGACCTGCTGGATGCCGCCGCAGCTACAATTCTGCAGCTCGTGGTAGGAATACATTTATGAATAAATCTAACCGTTGGCAAATACATTGTGTACTATTAAATGTGCCGTGTTCTTGTGGCCTTCCTGCCACCATAACGTGAAATAGAGAGGTTCTCCCTCGCTAGGTTAAGTATTGGCCACGCGATTAACTGGCACTTTATTTAAAAAAAAAAGAATATCTGCACCTTTTTGTCAGAACCGCAGTCTGATAAAGGAAAAGTTAACAAATTGGGAATATATAATCTACAGCCATTTCTTCAAAGAAAGTCAAGAGGTTCAATATAAAATGCAGACCACACTCATACAAGCTCAGGGACAGAATCAGGAGATAATCATTCACTATATCTACACAATGTAAAAACAACTCTGATTTTGTTAAAAATAAGTGGCTTAACAAATTCGCTCACAGTTTAGAAATGTCTAAAATGCCATCTTAGGGTCAACTAGTTTGTAATGAATATCAACAAAAATGAGAAAACTATATTTAGGTCTTGCAAAATTGACGCTGATTTCTGTTTTGTTAAAAATGGAACCGTTTTTGCTTAACTAGAAACACGAACGCGAATTAAGCTGCGATCATCAAAATGTTAATGGCAAATACTTCTTGATCTTGACAAATGCAAGATCTTAGATGTGTAGCTCCTATAACAATACAAATCATGCAACATGTTAAATTAATGAAGAAATGGATTAGGAGATATGAGTTTCGGAGTTCGCAAGCTGTTTAATAAATTAAAGGGCCATAATTCAGGAAGGTAAGGTAATTATCAGAAGAAAGGCTAAGGCCTAGGGTTATCCGTCGGTATTTTCTAGGGCATGTCCTGGATTCAGACGTCAATATTTGCGTCCGGGAGGAATTAAAAAGATCTTAAATATTGTAACATTAAATGTATAATACCAAGGGGCCAAAGTGTGTTGGGAGGGGGGACGGGGCAAGGTGGGTCGTGGTGACTGTGGAAGTGTCCTGAATTTTGACTTCAGATATGGCTAACCTAGGCTAAGCCAATACGACTGAATATAGCACTTGGAAGAAAGATGGGGATTACAGGCTATTCATGGCCGTGCCACCTTTTGGTGGCTTAATATTTGTCAATTAATCGATATGAGGACAAGGAGCTGGGAAAAGACGGAGGGAATGTATGGAGTCTAGCCACTCGGACCATCAGAGATTGAACGCAGGAGAGTAGAAATAGCCTAAGTTACTCTATCCTTTTGAGATGTATTTCTTTCTTGTCTCAATAAACATACTTGAATTGAACGCCGACCTGCAAGAAGTAAATAATTATCAAAGAAGTCATCAAGTTCCGGCGCTGTATCGACCCATCTAAGTTGTTGGAGAAGGATGTAGAGGTTTCGTAAAAGGGTAAGCAAATGCTTGACGAATCCTTGCTCTGGTTTCTCCATTAGGGACATGAATTAAGCCTGTTATTAAGCTTATAGTGGTCACTTTTGGTAAGTAAATAATTATCAAAAGAAGTCATCAAGTCAGGGATATTGACCATGAGCCTCTTATCTTTTTAATTAGTCTTTCATGTGGCACTATCAAAAGCTTTGCTGAAGTCAAGGTACACAACATCACAGTTACCAATATCGACTGCATCAACTATCCTGGAATAAAATGATAGCAGATGGCTGTGTTCAACCCAATATGGTGGAAAATGTTGGAACAAAAGCTAAGGTAAAATGGTTTACAAAAATGGGAGTTGAAGACGGTGGTCAATAATAGCATTACCTTTAAATATAGTGGGTGCACAAGTGTTGGGCAAGAAGCAGTGTTAATTAAAATGTTGGATTTGTGTCTCGGTGAATACTCAGACAGCGGCAAATCTAAGTGTGAAAACTCGTCATGGAAGAGAATAGAGGGAATAATTACTACATCTACGTTGCATTCCTCCCATGGTGGTGGTAGTTGTTTCTTTGGAAGTACAGTACTACATTCTTGAAAGGCATACTTTGTAACATTAGAACATAAGGATCTCTTATACGCTGTCCTATTATACTTTAAACGTGCATTGTTCATTGTTGTTGTTTTTGATTCAGCTACTCTGAACAAAAAGTTCCAAGCAGCACAGGTTATGGTGAGCCCGTCGTACTCACCTGGCACAGGAGATGTGCATGCATTGTTTGTTGTTTCAGATTCAGCTACTCTGAACATTATTTCCAAGTAGCACGGTATATGGTGAGCCCGTAGTGGTGTAACAGTTGTTGAGGTTACTTGAGTGGAGACTTGTGGGGTACCTGACTTACGAGACTTTCCCAGGGAGGTGAGGTAAGGTCACAAATCTCACCTCGGGTCTTATCTTCACGAAAGGAAGGCTCAGGTACTGTGGTATCAAGGTTGTATGTCAGATGTCAGATCTTTTGAACCTGGCATACCTCAGGGAGGAGTGTTGAGTCCCACGCTGTTTAATATACTAATGAATAGGATAGCATCTGAGAGATACTCAAATGGGCTAACTCCGATCATATATGCCGATGATATTTTGTTTCAGGGCAAAGATATTTCAAATGTTCAAACGGTGTTGAATAATTTTGGAAATCTGCGTCACCATATGGGACTGGTAGTTAATGAAGACAAAACTAAGTTTGAATGTAGAAGTCGGAGGCTTATTATATTGGAAATAAATTATAAAGATATAGTTAATATACGGTATATAAATATTTAGGAACGGATGTTGGATATACCCATGACAGTTTGGAAGCTGAAATGAATAGACTGGTCAATGACGGAAGAGATTACAACCTCTGAAGGCCTTGGCATGCTGTGAGGAGGGAGTGGGAGTCTCTGTGCTACGAATGATATACTTGAGTATTGATTATGCTGCACCTGTCATTTCTTGTTTTAGTAAAGGTAGACTGAGCAAGTTGGAGAATGTACAAAATGAAGCCATGAGAATAGTCTTAGAATGCCCAAGAAATGCTATTATTGAGATAATGAAGACAGTATTGAATCTGAAGAGTATTGGGGATAGAATTTCAGAGAGAAATTTAGCCACTGTCATTAGATTAATGAGAGGTGGGGGAGCTAATGAATTAATCCTCTCAGTTCAAAAGGTGGAAAGTAATAAACATTGTATGTTAAATACACACACAAATCACAATAACGATATATCAAATGAACAAATACACAAGGGGCGCCTGACAGCTGAGTGGACAGCGCTTCGGATTCGCAGTCCTGATGTTCCGGGTTCGATTCCCGGTGGAGGCGGAGGCAAATGGGCAAAAAGTTTTTTTCACCCTGATGCCCCTGTTACCTAGCAGTAAATAGGTACCTGGGAGTTAGACAGCTGCTACGGGCTGCTTCCTGTGGGTGTGTAACAAAAAGGAGGCCTGGTCGAGGACCGGGCCGCGGGGATGCTAAGCCCCGAAATCATCTCAAGATAACAAGGGCCGTGATGAGGGTTCGTACCTACGCACGGAATATTCCCAGATGCGCCTTAGTCAACTGTACCACGACATGGTAAAAAAATTGCAACCTGGATTGCTACTGCCCTCACGAGGATCCCGATGCACAACCGGGGGTTTCACAGTTTCCCCCATGCACTCGGGCTGTTAACCAAATGCTCTACCTCATCGCCTTTACTTAAATACACAAATCCCAATAGCGTGATACTGTTTATTAATGAACAAATCTACCCTCATCACGTCCCTTGTGGATTTGTTCAATGTATGTTAAAGTATAATAAGAAATCATATATGAGTGTCTTACGTTCTAATGTTATATTTATGATGTATACCAGAATATTGTGGTTGAGTGTAGAGAGAGAATGTTAAGACATTAGAAAAAAATGGGTATAAAGTAAGATTCATGTGGATCCCTTCACATGTGGGAATATTGTTGAATGAGATAGCAAAGAGAGCCAGGAAATAATTCTTGTTGATAATGTATGTCAGACAACTTTGAAACAAATAAAAACAATCAAGATGATCCAAGAGAATGAAGAGAATGGCAATGGTGGACAGTAGTAACACACTTAAGAATTATGCAATAATAAATACAAATTCGTCCTTCACTTATGATAGAGGAAAGTCTACTTGGAAGGATTCAATTTACATTAGATTAAGAGTAGAATACAAATATATTTGGCAATATGGTGTTGATGTCAGTGAAAAAGATAAGGAGTGTAAATTATTTAGTATGCTACACGCCCAGACCTTAGAACATTTTGCATTAGAGTGTCAACTTATTAATAGCTATAGAAATAAGGCAATAAGTAGTGTACTACATCAAATTGTTTGGATGTGTGATATGGAATGATAGACAGATTACTTAGGAGATACAAGCACTTTACCCCAAGAGTGTAACACTTATATGCTGTGTTTACTACATTAACCTGCAATATAAAATGTGATTCTTGTCCTGTGATTTGTGGATTTGTACTCACTGGATTTGTGCGCCCTTTGAGGGACTTGAAGTAAGGGAGGGTAGATAAAGCCCAAGCTACTCTATCCTTTTGAGAAGTATTTTATTGTCTCAATAAACGTACTTGAACCTTGGGTAGTTTCTAAGGTTGGCGGGCTAATCCCTTGTTCCAAGAAGTTATCAGATTGATTAGTTATGAGTTCAACGGAAAATTAGGGATTGAAGGATATAAAAGAAAAAAGCTGGTTACAAGAGAGAGAGAGAGATTACGGGCTGTTCATGCCCGTGCTACCTCTTGGGTGGCTTAATCTTCATCAATCATTGTGTTCTGTGCCATAGTCCAGACAGGAGTTCTAGTGTTGGGCATCACAGGGAGAGGAGGACTGACAGAAGCTTCATCACTGCTGTATCTTGAGTGAGTACTAGTAATACCTGTAGTTTATTTTGGGCTATGAGAATAATCTTGAAATTGAAATTGAAATTGAAATAAGTTTATTGAGGTAAAATACACACAAAGGGATGAGGTAGCTCAAGCTATTCTCACCCCGTTCAGTACAACGTGTTAATATATACATATACACACATCACAAATAAACATATTACCAAACATTCTGAGAGGTAAACATATACATTTCCTCCTTCACAAGTAGTATGGTATCAGACGTACACACAAATACTTTTATGACCTAGGTATACTGTATAGACAATTTGCAAGACACCTGCAGATAATTCAACAAAATATTACAATCTTGGTGCAAAATTCTTATATCTCTCAAGAATATCATCAACCTTTCCGTTGTGACACATCCAGGCTATTTGTTCAGGAACAGTCCTTATCTCAGTGTTTCTATATACACTAATCAACGGACAATCAAGAATATAATGGGCAAGGGTGTGAGACCTTAACATACCACATAGTTTACACTTCGTGTCATTACCATGAACATCTATCCCATATTCCCAGTAATATTTGTACCCAAGCCTGAGCCGCATGTACACAGAGTCACTCCAAGCATTTCTCCTTTTACCATAAGTGAAATGGGTGTTTTGACTCACATACATGTAGTGTTGCATGGTTTGACTACTCTCATACATTATCTCTCTCCTCTCCACTCCCGCCTGTGCCTGAATATTTCTGATTTTGCTTCTTATTTGTCTCATTGTGAATTCACATTCGATGTCAACTTGTGGTTTTGATGTGGCACGTTTGGCCAAGTCATCCGCCACCTCGTTAAGCACTATTCCAACATGAGATGGAATCCACATGAATTTCACACTATAACCTTTCAGCTGTATCTCAGTTATTCTTCTCTTACAGTCCTCCACTATAGACATGAAGACTGGGTTTCTACTGTTTAAGGACTCCAGTGCTCCTCGGCTATCGACAAATACAAAAACATTTTTGTCGTCATGACGTACTTCCTCCAAACACGCCAGAATGGCCTGCAGTTCAGCTTGTGTGGATGATATATAATTACTAAGCCGGAGTTCAATTATCCTGTCCACAGTCCCAAACTCCGTATAATCCCTTATTAGGACACCACACCCTGCCCTGCCATCCTCCGCCACCGACCCGTCGCAATATACATGTAAACTGTTGCCTCTTGGTAACCGAGATATCATGCTTCCATACAAACACCGTAATTGTCCCGGTTCATGATGAATCTTTTTCACCTTGAGGGGTACAATTTCGACGTCTATTTTCTGTACTTTCCAGGGAGCAGACATATTACACTTTCGAGAGGGTTTACAGCAGTCAAGTACGTCGTATTCCCTGAGGTCATGAGCTAATCCTCTCGTATAGCGAGTCTCCCTCAGTTTCCTGGAAGTGTGTACGTCACTCAAGCAGGTCTGAACGCTCTCAAACAGCTTATCCCCTCCTTTTCTCCGCATGAAACGAATAGATACTCTAGTGTTAATGTCACGGACTCTATCACACACACTCTGTAAATTTAATTCCATTCTCATTATTTCAATCATTGCATTTCTTTGACATCCAAGAATAATCCTCATAGCCTCGTTCTGTATCAGCTCTATTTTTTGAATTCTGCCTTGGCCTGTGTAAGACAATACGGGTGCTGCGTAGTCTATCAGGGATCGAACAGTGCTTATGTATAACATCCGCAAGATAGGTACCCCAACACCTTTACCAGAAAAAGCCAGTGCTTTTAGAGGATGCAGACGGGCTTTACATAAGGTGCTGATATGATTTATTTCAGCATTTTTACTCTCACATGTGTATCCAACATACATGCCCAGATACTTGTACTTCTGTACACGGCTCAGTTCCACACCATTTAGAGTAAGTGTTATATTTCTTCGTTTCCTATACTCGTATTTGGTTTTATCTGCATTTATAACTAAGCCTAACTTGTGACAGGTTGTACCAAGTATGTTAAGAGCATCTTGAATTTTGTTCCCAGAAGTGCCTTGTATAAGAATGTCATCAGCATATATGATCGTCGTGACCCCTGGAGGATACATCTCTGATGCTAATCTGTTCATTAATACATTGAATAAGGTGGGACTTAATACTCCCCCTTGTGGGGTACCTAACTGAAACCTCCGTTCCTCAGACATGTATCCCTGGTAATACACCTGACCTTTTCTGCCTTGCAGGTAATCCCTTATCCAGTGTAGCAATCTCCCTGTTATTCCCAGATTGGCTAATTCGTATAAGATTACTTCCCCATTGGCTTTATCAAACGCTCCTTGTAGATCAACAAAAACTCTACAATTGTCATCTACATTAGACAAACACTTTAAGAGACAATCCGCAGTACTTTTGCCTTTGATAAAACCAAAGAGATTATTGGACATGTTATCACCTACAAGGTAGAGTAGCCTATTTAACAAAATCCTTTCCATCATTTTACAAAAGCAGGATATTAAGGAGACAGGTCTGTAGCCTCCGTTTGACTTAGGGATAGGAATGATGACAGCCTCTTTCCATTTTCTTGGTAACTTTCCCTCTCTATAACTCATATTAAACAAATCAAGTAAGGGATTAGGTTTCATACCGGCTAAATAATTAAGTATGTCATACGTTACTCCATCTTTTCCCGGAGCAGTGGAGCTGCCACTTTTTATAGCATCCAGTAGCTCATCGTGGGTTATCTCAGTGCATGCTATAGATCTTGTATTTAAGGCACATAAAGTTACTCCATTTCTAATATTTTCCCATGACTCAATGGTGACTCTCGTGTCTGCAGGTAAGGACTCCATACCAGCAGCACTTGCCCATTTATCTACTAACTCATTAGCAACTTTCCCTGGATCTGAGTGAGCAATGAATTTAGTCTTACAACCCCTGACTTTATTTACTGCTCTCCATATGTCTTTAAGGTTCTTAGTATTACCAATGGCCTGAGCAAAGTCTTGCCAGTATCTGTCCCGCGCCTCCTTCCTCACCTGACTGCATTCCCTAGCCACTTCCAACATTGTATTTTTCTCTTCATCCCTCCTTCCATTTTTTAACCATGCTTTATGCGCACCCCGTAGCATTCTCTCCCATCCCTTGACTTGCTGATCATTGGAATATTTAAATTTCTTAGGTCCGTGCGTCTTGCTTCCCCTGCCCCCGTTATTTTCCCTCTGTACTAATTTCTCTATGTTCACGACCATGTCCTCGTAAAAACTATCAACGCAGAGCGGCGTGTAATGTTGATACCAATCTCCCATATTTTGAATAAAATAATTTTTCATATCTTTCTTAATATTTAGCCTTTTCCTTTGAAAGTGGACTTGTTTTTTCCCCAGTGGTAATTCAACGTTCAAGGCAAAGTGGTCACTAAGTAGTTCCCGAACAACCCGAGCCTCCCCCATAATCCCCTGAGAGTTTAAAACGCAGGCATAGTCAAGCCGTCCTCCCTTGATGTGAGTTGGTTCATTGTTTCCCAATAGACAGGTATCTGGATGATCTTGTAGAAACTGTAACCACTTGACCCCATTAGCATTAATACTACCCACTGTCCCAAGGCTTGTGTGCCGAGCATTAAGGTCCCCAATGACCAGTGAAGGATTAGTATAAATGCAGTCAGGTAAATAGTTAGCGTCGAAGCAGTTCCTGGATACATACAAATTAACTACAATAAATTCCCCTTCCCTTAATGATAATTTAACACAAACACTCTCTATACCTTGCGTTTTTGATGGCGGTTCTACTAACTCTGCTGGTATGGAGTTCTTAACATAAATCGACGTGCCTCTGATGTTATTTGCAGCGAAGAGGTGAAACCCTTTATAGCCATTTAATTTCAATAATCCTTCATTCCTATCCCCTGTCTCCTGGAGAGCTACAACATCAATATCATTTCCCATCACATAACAATGAACATCTGTAACCCTGTTTCTCAAACCATTAACATTCCATGACAACACTTTCAGTCTAGGGTGATCCATTATTAATCAATTCATTGCTTAAGTCATCCCCAATAAGTTCACTAAATGATAGCCATACCTTGTATAACATCTCCCACCTCCTCCCAAGTTCACCAGTAAAAGCGACATTGCGATTCTCAAGAGATTTTTTCAGCCCTGAGATGTCCATTATTGGCCCAAATGATTCCTTCATTTTATGTGTAATTATAGGGTTCTTCCTTTCACTACGACTACCATCATTCACACACACTTCACTTTCCTTCATTTCATCACTCAATATTTCATCTTTGTCCTCAACCACTATATCCTGATTATCCTTCACCGTTTTGTGATTTTCCTTGACCTCCTGAACGTTTAATTTAGCCTCGATGGACTCGATTCTCTGCCCCAGATTTTGGAGGAACTCACCAACTTTTTTAAGTTCAGCCCACACTTCCTTGACCATATTATTATGACCCTCTCTCTGAGCCACAGTAGCCACTTCACTCACCGTTACACTGTCACTGCCGGAGTCCTGAGTGGTGGCGTGGCTGCTTGTTGCTGGAGCCTGCCTAAGTAAAGGTGACTCCTTTACCCACGCATTCGTCCGGTTCACTGGCACTGTTTGGGGCAGACTGTTTTGCTGTGCTCCCGGTGTCTGGGTAAGAGCTCTTGCTTGCTCTGTAACATTCACCGGCCGGAGAACAGCCATACTCGGCCTCTTGCTACACACAGCCGAGCTCGCATTGTGAACACCTCCACAGTTGCAGCATCTGGGAACTATTTTCTCACCCAGATTCAGTCTGTTTCTACACACAGTAGAGAGGTGAGACTTTCCGCAGAAACGACATCGTGGATCATTTTGACATCTCCAGGATTTATGCCCCCATCTGCAGCATTTCAGGCATATTATGGGCTCTTCCACATACTTTGCTACATGCCTGTAGCCAGCCCCGGTGATGAACACTTTTTCGGGTACGTCACCTCTCACTAGAGCCACCACCTGACTCCTAGCTTCACCTTTAATAAGGTGACGCTTGGCCCACACAAATCGTTGGTCGTCGAGTATAAACTCGGGGTCCAGAATCTGAGGGTATTTATAGATAATTACCTTCGTCAGCTTCTCGTTCCCCTCCGGTATTTCCATAAGAATTCCATCGTATCCTTGCTGGGTAAGATACTCCACTGCCTCCATAGAACCTACCGTTAAGTAAGGTCTGTTTACACCTTCCTTCAGCAGGGGCTCGAACTTGCGGTGTTCTCTTCCGAGTTTGACGGTCCACAGCAGCTTCTGATGATAGGCCAGCGTGCATGAGGCAGAGAAGAGAAGCCTCCATCTCCGCTGATCCTCACCTTCCTGACATCGTTCCGTCCGTTTGTCTGCATCAGTCTCGGCGTCGTTCTTCATTCTTTTATCGTTTCCGTTAAGTGTATTACTGTCCACACTACGCCTTGCCTCCTGTCTTCTTCGTTTCTTCTTATTCCTTGTCAGAACTTCTTGAAACACGCCCTCCTCGTCTGACTGGCTGCTTTCAGAGTCCATGTTAATAACGCCGTGAGAAGTAGCCATGTCTTCTGGTGACTGAGTCTCCATCTCAGTACCCAGCATGGGGGGAGGGGGGGGGAAGGTGCGGAGCAGGTATCTTGACCCGACCGCGTCCCAGGTAAGACTCGAGAGAATAATCTTGGTATTATTCGCATTTCTTCATTTTGTACCTTCTCCAACTTGTTTAGTCCGCCTTTACCAACACAAGACATGACGGGGGCAGCATAATCAATAAGAGATCTCAAAGTATACCATGTGATTAACATTGGAATGTTAAATATAGAACATGAGTAATAATTGTGTACTGTATGGGTTTGTGTGCCCCTTGAGGGACCTTATATAGACGAGGGTAGAAATAGCCTTAGCCACTCAATCCTTTTGAGATGTACTTCTTTTTCTCAATAAACTTACGTGAACTTGAGTGAGTACTGGTCCATTATGTTCCAACATCACAAGTGTTGATAATTCTTGATAGGGAAGATAAATTATGATTTTTAAATTGAAACTAATTAAATAAATGTATATTAATAAACTGTCCATCTGGTCTGTGCATTCGTTCTTGCTTATTCATTCATAGAGAGTTGCCAGGCCCAAGTATTCCGTACTCACTTAATTGTGCTTGCTGGGGTTGAGCATTGTCTCTTTGGTCCCGCCTCTCAACTGTCAATCAACCGGTGTACAGATTCCTGAGCCTACTGGGCTCTATCATATCTACATTTGAAACTGTGTATGGAGTCAACCTCCACCACATCACTGCCTAGTGCATTCCAATTATTAACTACTTTGACACTGAAAAAAAAATTCTAACGTCTCTGTGCCTCAGTGGGCATCTCCCTAAGTTGTGGTCACGACTGTCACATGATAAATTATCTTCCTCCCGCCCGTAATTATCAAAAGTCCTTTAGAATTATTTGGATGCCAGTGAATAGCGGGAGTCGACCGTATTCTCCCCCCCACCCTCCACACTACTCTGTGACAGTGTAGATATAATAGGTGACTGTCCGGGTATGGTGCCCGACCATCTGGTCACCATTTGGTCCGGGAGACATCTCCCGTCACGCAGGGTGCAGTCGCGCCTCCACAGATCTCCAGTATCAGCTCTTGATACTGGTGATGGCTCAAAAGGGCCACCACTTACGAGCTAATCATGCCCGTGCCACCGTTTGGGTGGCTTCATCTTCATCTTAACACATTCACAAGGGAGACATCTCCCGTCACGCAGGGTGCAGTCGCGCCTCCACAGATCTCCAGTATCATCTATTGATACTGGTGATGGCTCAAAAGGGCCACCACTTACGAGCTAATCATGCCCGTGCCACCGTTTGGGTGGCTTCATCTTCATCATCTTCATCAACACATTCACAAGGGAGACATCTCCCGTCACGCAGGGTGCAGTCGCGCCTCCACAGATCTCCAGTATCAGCTCTTGATACTGGTGATGGCTCAAAAGGGCCACCATTTACGAGCTATTCATGCCCGTGCCACCTTTTGGGTGGCTTCATCTTCATCTTAAACACATTCACAAGGGAGACATCTCCCGTCACGCAGGGTGCATTTGCACCTCCACAGATCTCCAGTATCAGCTCTTGATACTGGTGATGGCTCAAAAGGGCCACCACTTACGAGCTATTCATGCCCGTGCCACCTTTTGGGTGGCTTCATCTTCATCTTAAACACATTCACAAGGGAGACATCTCCCGTCACGCAGGGTGCATTTGCACCTCCACAGATCTCCAGTATCAGCTCTTGATACTGGTAATGGCTAAAAAGCGCCACCACTTACGGGCTATTCATGCCCGTGCCACCTTTTGGGTGGCTTAATCTTTATCAATCAATCGTATGGTGCCCACCACCCCTAGAGTAATTAACATCTTTACTCTCCCGTGACCGGTACCCTTCGTCGTCGGTCACCATAAAGTGCTCATTTTCATCAAAGACGAGGGTGGTGGCAGACCCCTCACAGTGTTCAAGAGGGAATGTGATAAGCACTCCATATGGCCAATATTTATATATACAAGAGTTCTAACAGTCTTGTAAGAACTGTAAAAAATATATCTGCCACAAAAATAATGTTATTAAAACAAGACTAAAACCAGTGCGCTAAAACTAAAGCAGAAAAGAAACGGGAGAAAAGGAGATAGCCCTACCTCCATTTAATTAAGACTGACCCAAATATCACAGTAACAAAGTTATCGCGAATACCCAAACTAAATTACGGGCTCACTATAGCCCATGCTACATGGACATTTCCCTCGGAATAGCTAAATCTAAAACAAGAACAACAGTCTTGTAGAGCCACTAGAACGCTTAGCGTTTCGGGCAGGTCCTTAATCCTAATATTCCCTAGAATACGACCCACCAAATCGTTTAACAACCGATACCCCTTCACTGCTGCGTGAACAGAGGCGTACAGTTAAGGATTGGCGCCCAGTCAATCCTCCGCGGCTAAAGTGCTTGCGAAGTGCTGGGCTAGTGCTTTAGCACTGCGGCACAGGGACTAGACTCAGGGTCGGGATTCTGTACAACGAACTCCGTAGAACCGTAATTGATTGATTGATGAAGATTAAGCCACCCAAAAGGTGACACGGTCATGAATATCCCGTATGTGGTGGCCCCTTTTGAGCCATTACCAGTATCAAGAGCTGATACTGGAGATCAGTGGAGGTGCGAATGCACCCTGCATGACGGGAGATGTCTCCCTTGTAAATGTATTAAGATGAAGATGAAGCCACCCAAAAGGTGGCACGGGCATGAGTAGCTCGTAAGAGGTGGCCCTTTTGAGCCATCACCAGTATCAGTAGATGATACTGGAGATCTGTGGAGGTGCGACTGCATCCTGCGTGACGGGAGATGTCTCCCGTCAAGTGTGTGTGTAGAGCCGTAAAGGCTCATGAACCTATGACTTTTATTTCAGTCTGCCTTAAATTGATTGATTTATTTTTTTATACCGTTCCCGTTTTCGTCCATACCAAGCATACCAACCAAACTTATTCTCATAACAATTCCTAGAAGTTTGCCAGACCAATATCTTATTCTACATAATTTTCTTCATGATAAATATTAATATTTTAATATATAGGTAAAGGTGGATAATTTAGTGTGGGGTAAGGAAGTGTAAGTGAGAACTAGTAGAGGTTGGCGGCGAGGTTGTGGCAGCCTGACTCCATCCCCAGAGCCGTCGAGCAGCGAGCATCCCAGCATCATTATGAGAGGCAGAGGTAAGTCACCCTCATTTTACCCTCCAAGCGCCACATTTAGACTATATTTACTGAGGTACTATCGTGCCGGCCATCTTGATGCCTTGGTGCGTGAGGGTAATGTGTAAATGGTGAAGTATGTGTAGCGAGGAACCAGTTTGGAGAAGATCGATGGTCTGCTGAAAGCCGCCATTTGCGTCGCACCCGGCCCGCTTTGCCTCCATTGTGGCAGCGTGTTTCTCCTCCGTGGAGCCCTGGTGAGCTGCCCACTCTCTAATATAGGCCGACCACCCTCTAGCTCTTAATTAGGCCTTGACGTGTGTGTGTAGCAGGAGTTGAAGGGAAGTTTAACCTGGCTTGAGCCCTGGTCCGGAAGACCGGCTTCCGCAACACATTTTGCCTGAGTTTACCTGAGGGCCACGCGTTTATCTAGTGGGTTCGATGGGGACAGGAGGCCAGTAGCTTGACAAGGCCCTTCATTTTTCCCGAGGATATGTATAAACATGCCAATAGGTATTATATATACAATGCCCGAAACTCTGCATACTAGAGGCTTTATGAATTGTATTTGCTCACCTATGTATCATTCTCTGTTCATGTATCATGTATGCACACTTCTATAAATAAAATATTACATACTAGATAGGGGTACAAAACAGTGCCAGGTTTGACTGCTATGGGAAAAAAGAATAATCCCGGTCAGTTCCCTGAGAATGACACCTATGCTTAACTCTTCAAAGCAAAAAATCCACAATACTGCCTTAACTCTTACTGCCTTCAATAAGAGGGAAATACAGGAGTATTATCAGGCTCCTTAGTTGATCTCTGCTAAAGCAGTTGGTTAAACTTGGTCTTAAATTATATTACTGCAACATTGTTTTTGCAATAGTTCTGAATTGCATGGCACAACCACTTGGGGTGGACGGTAGAGCGACGGTCTCGCTTCATGCAGGTTGGTGTTCAATCCCCGACTGTCCAAGTTGTTGGGCACCATTCCTTCTCCCTATCCCATCACAAATCCTTATCCCGACTCCTTCCGTTGGGGTCAAGTGCTATATAGTCGTAATGGCTTGGTGCTTTTCCGTGATAATTACTTCCCTCCCTCTGAATTGCATGGAGGTGATTTTTGCCACTTTGACTATTATTTGTTATGCCGAGTCATAAATAGGCTGGTTAGTGTTGTTTTCTGACAGCTGACCGGGATATGATTGAGAGATAAGGAAAGCAAAAAGAAACTATGAAGTTCGCATAGCAGGGCAAGCAAAGACAAATCCTAAAGGGTTTTTTCAGTTATATCGTACTAAGACTAGGGAAAGGATAGGTCCATTAAAAACTGAGACAGGTCAAATAACAGATAGTGATGAAGAGATGAGTAGTATTTTTAATAAATATTTTGTATCTGTATTTACTAAAGAGGAACTTAACAATATGCCTTCAGCCGAACAAGTCTATGTGGGTGGGGACGAGGACAGGTTGACGAGTTTAACAGTTACCAGGGAGGATGTTCTTAAACAAATAGTAAAACTCAAACCAAACAAATCCCCAGGGCCGGATGAAGTGTTTGCCAGGGTGCTTAAAGAATGCAAAGAGGAGCTTTGTGACCCACTGTCAACCATATTTAATAAATCAATAGAGTCAGGCAGAGTGCCAGAGTTTTGGAAAGTTGCTAATGTGATACCAGTTTTTAAGAAAGGAGATAGATCACTTGCGTCTAACTATCGACCAATTAGCCTAACGTCTATTGTGGGAAAGTTACTCGAATCTATAATAGCAAATAAAATTCGTCTTCATCTTGAAAAACATAAATTAATAATTGAGTCGCAACATGGTTTTATAAATGGCCGTTCATGTTTAACAAATTTGTTATCTTTTTATTCTAGCATTGTTGAGGCAGTTGATAGTGGTAAGGATTGCGATGTTGTATACCTTGACTTTAGCAAAGCTTTTGATACAGTGCCACATGAAAGACTGATTAAAAAGATAGAGTCTCATGGTATTGGGGGTGCTATATTAAGCTGGATTAGGGCATGGCTATACCAAAGGAAACAGAGAGTTAGTATAAATGGAATCAAGTCAGAGTGGGAAAATGTTGTAAGTGGAGTGCCTCAAGGCTCTGTCCTGGGTCCTCTGTTGTTTATAATATATATAAATGATTTAGATTCAGGTTTGAGTAGCAACATTTGCAAATTTGCCGATGATACGAAAATCGGTAGGGAAATTAATTCGGAGGAGGACTCACTATCACTTCAAGTTGATCTAGATAGGGTTTTGAAATGGTCAAAGGATTGGCAGATGCAGTTTAATGCTGATAAATGTAAAGTTCTGAGGTTAGGTAATGATGATAGAGTTACAAGATACGAGCTAGATGGTGTTGTGATTGCGAAGTCGGATTGCGAAAGGGATCTGGGAGTTATGATTAGTAAGAATTTAAAACAAAAGGATCAATGCATAAATGTTCGTAATAAGGCAAATCGGACACTTGGATTTATTAATCGCAGCGTTAGTAACAAGACACCTGGTGTGGTTCTCAAGCTATATCTTGCTCTAGTTAGGCCCCATTTAGATTATGCAGTTCAGTTTTGGTCGCCATATTATAGAATGGATATAAATTCACTTGAACGTGTCCAGCGTAGGATGACTAAGTTAATTCCCCAAATTAGAAATCTTTCATATGAAGAAAGATTAACAAAGCTTAAGTTGCATTCACTGGAAAGGCGAAGAGTTAGGGGTGACATGATAGAGGTTTACAAGTGGATGAATGGACATAACCGGGGGGATATTAATAGGGTATTAAAAGTATCAACACAGGACAGAACACGAAACAATGGGTATAAATTGGATAAGTTTAGATTTAGGAAAGACTTGGGTAAATACTGGTTCAGTAACAGGGTTGTTGATTTGTGGAACCAATTGCCGCGTAACATTGTGGAGGTGGGGTCCCTCGATTGTTTCAAGCACGGGTTGGACAAGTATATGAGTGGGATTGGGTGGTTATAGAATGGGAGCTGCCTCGTGTGGGCCAGTGGGCCTTCTGCAGTTGCCTTTGTTCTTATGTTCTTATGTTCTTATATCATAACCCTCTGAGTCTGCAGCAATGAATGAAGTTCCGTGGTGCCAAAAAACCCTTGGATGCAATTTTCAAATTCTAGCTCAACCAGTCTGAGCAGACCAGGTAACCCCAAGCTGCTCTTCTATTTGTGCAGGCACCACTAGACGCCTTCCTGCCAGACTATAGTTCATAGGCTTGCCTCTAGGCTCCTTTGTGATATGGGGTTTTTATGGGGAGTGGGGGAAGAGGGAGAATGGACAAACACCGTGCTGTCCCCAGGATTTTGCCCTATATCCAAGTATGCACTCGTAGTAAAAATTGCCCATCTCCTTGTATCCACACTCCAAACTGATAATTAGATTGTCAATTCTCGCTCAGTCTGGCAAGTTAGGCTAGTTCAAAGTGTTATTGTTAACAAGAAAAAACAAGGGGGATCCATCTGATACTCAATCTAAGTATGATCAGATCTTGAATACTTTTATGTACAGTATTTTACTTTTATGGTGCTACATAGCCTTCCCGACTTGGTGCCTTCTTTAATAATTACTTAATTACTTACCCGAATACTTTATTATAGCAAGCACTTTTAAATGTGAATTAATTTTTGCCCACCTGCAAGATTGCTCTTTTAAAATCTACTCCAAGACAACATAGATGACGTAGTTAATCTCGGGAATTATAAACTTTCCTTATGAAAGTGATTAAAATGGTTTACAGTATTTATATTCTGTAGAAAGTTGAAGAGCAAGACTTTTTGCTATCATAGATATGAGTACTGTATTCATTTATAAAATGCTAACCAGCATGTTTGGTGACATGATTAAAATATATGAATGGATGAATGGGTATAACAAAGGTGACAAATATTATTTTAAATGTATCAACACTGAATAGAAGTCGAAACTGGATATATTTTGGCAAAAGTTAATATTCGGTAAAGACCTGGGTAGACATGACATTGTTTGGAAAGAATAGTTGGGTGGTTTATACAGTGCCCATTATTATGATGTTCTTGTATATAAAATATTTTGCTCTGCTTCTTGAAGATTCTTGGAAACTTGTTCATATATAATTCAATCTTATTTATTGGCTGCCATAATGTAGGAAAGGAGTCATGTTAAATATTTTGAAAAAGAATACATAGTATAAGAAAACCCAGTATTTGTAAAAGTCTCAAGTGTAATGACATTATACATAAGAAAAATACATAAGTATTTTTGTTATGGTTCAGTAACAGGGTTGTTGATTTGTGGAACCAATTGCCGCGTAACATTGTGGAGGTGGGGTCCCTCGATTGTTTCAAGCGCGGGTTGGACAAGTATATGAGTGGGATTGGGTGGTTATAAATAGGAGCTGCCTCGTGTGGGCCAACAGGCCTTCTGCAGTTGCCTTTGTTCTTATGTTCTTATGTTCTTACTTTATCAGGTCGTGGTCGTGGCAACTGGCGGTCACCAGCTCAATCTGGTGACTTGCAAGAAGGTTCGGTGAATAATCAACAGCCTTCATCAATGGACTTTTATCAGGATAACCTGCCTGCTCCAATGGATTCTAAAATGGATGTTGGTAATGAGGTGAGTTATTTCTTGATTGTGAAGGTGTATAATATGGTGCAAGTTATTAGCATTCACTGATGTCACGTCCTCCACACTCGCCACTGAGTGGCTCAATGAGTAAGAGTTGGAAGTGTGTAATTAATTTATATTTGCAAAGTTATTTGAAGGGTAATAATTATGATTATTGTTTGAAAATTACTATTGTAGGCTCTGCTGCATATAAAAACAGTTGGCACTACTCAGTACAGTATATGTATTATGAGTATTGCTCGGTGTTGCTGATTATACAGATTTTATAAACATTTTAACATTCCTCATTTCAGTATAAATTTAATAATTAAAATATTTGCATATGATATATCTGTGTCAACAAAGAAAGCAAAAATTACTTGAATACTGTTTCCTCAGGTAATTTGGCAAACGACGGGAAATGTACGCATGAACTTACCAAAGGTCAGCTTCCAGGATAATGAAATATTTATACTCTTTGGATTTGTCGAGTTGTAATTTTAGCATTATAACCTCATGAAAATGTTCAACTGCATGTTTTAAGAGTATGAATGCAAAATAAATGTATTTAGGCACTGGTTTGTGTGACATGGGTGAGACTACAAAGGTTTATAAACATTTCATCATTCTCATTTATTTTTGTATGTGTTTTTTGTGTGAAAATGTGCACATGATTGATCTTTATTGCTGTATAAAGAAAACAGACAGCAAATCCTATCATTGAATTTGAAAAAAAGGGCTTTATAATTTTTTCTTGGTAAAAATGTGACTTTGTTTTGCAGTACTGTAGTATTTTTTATATGTATAAATGTATGCAAATGGTTTCATGAATATTTTACTGCATATAATGTCCATTCCATTGTAATATAATTGAACATCTCCCTCTTTTTTCCCCTCCCCTTAATTAATTTCCTCAGTTTTGCAATGAATTTATGTACATATCCTGTTAAATACAGTCACATTAGTGCCACATTAAATACAGTATTTGTATGTGTGTGTGTGTGTATGTAATTACCTAAGTGTAGTTACAGGATAAGAGCTACGCTTGTGGTGTCCCGTCTTCCCAGCACTCTGTCACATAATGCTTTGAAATTACTGATGGTTTTGGCCTCCACCACCACCTCACCTAACTTGTTCCAACCATCTACCATTCTGTTTGCAAAAATGAATTTTATTATATTTCTTCGGCAGCTTTGTTTAGTTTAAATCTATGACCTCATGTTCTTGAAGTTCCAGGTCTCTGGAATTCTTCCCAATCAATTTTATTGATTCTTGTTACTATTTTGTACATAGTGATTATATCGCCTCTTTCTTCTATCTTCTAGTTTTGGCATATTTATTGCCTCTAATCTCTCTTCGTAGCTCTTGTCCTTCAGTTCCGGGAGCCATTTAGTTACATGTCTTTGCACCTTTTCCAGTTTGTTGATGTGCTTCTTAAGATATGGGCACCACACAACAGCTGCATATTCTAGCTTTGGCCTAACAAAAGTCATGAACAATTTCTTTAGTATATCGCCATCCATGTATTTAAAAGCAATTCTGAAGTTAGAAAGCATAGCATAGGCTCCTTGCACAATATTCTTTATGTGGTCCTCAGGTGATAGTTTTCTATCTAGAACCACCCCTAGAGCTCTTTCTTTATCAGAATTCTTTAAAGATTTCTCACATAATATATAGGTTGTGTGGGGTCTATGTTCTCCTATTCCACATTCCATAACATGGCATTTATTAACATTAAATTCCATTTGCCAAGTGGTGCTCCATATACTTATTTTGTAGCTTTGATTTAACAAAAGTTGTGAACAATTTCTTAAGTATTTCACTATCCATGTACAGTATTTATAAGCAAATCTGAAATTAGAAAGTGTAGCATAGGCTCCTTATATGATGTTCTTTGTATGGTCTACAAGTGATAGTTTTCTATCTAGAACCATCCCTGGATCGCTTTCTTTATCCGAATTCTTTAATGATTTCTCACATAATTTATAGGTTGTGTAAGGTCTATGTTCTCCTTTTCCACATTCCGCTTGTAAACGCATGTGTGCGTGCGCACTTCCCTAATTTTACTTGCCTAAATGTGCTTGAAGGGGTTGAACTTGGCTCCTCTTCCTAACTTTCAATCAACTGGTATACAAAAAAAAAAAAAAAAAATCTGCCTTGTCCACCTTACTTTTTAGTATATTTGATTTGTTTACTATTCTGACAACAAAAAATGTGCTCATTTGCGTTCTCGATTTTCACCCGTGTCCCTTTGAGTACACCCCATGCCAAATTGTCTGCCTTATCAATCTCCCTGAAAACTTAGAATTTTGTTCATCCTCATGATATCAAATGTGCCTTCAGGCAAACTAGCATACTTTGTAGTAATCTAGTACACACTGGTCCTGCTTAAAATGCTTCTGGTGTTTATTCAATTTTCTATTCCTCTTGGCTGTACTGTACTCTTAATGACATGCTTAAAGAACAAAAGAATTGTTAAAAAGTGCTACTTTTCAGAGATCCCATCCTGGTTTTAATTGGATCTCATCCATACATGCCTAACACGAACATGCCTAATAGTCCTGGCTTTGTTGCTTTTGACTTGCCTTGCTCTATCCAGTTAAATGCTCTAATCTTCTTAGCGAGTGTGATCTGTCTTGGCTGTGTGGCCGTGTTCTATTTCTTTACGTGTAATTTGGTTCACCTATATTTCTCCCTTTCCTTTATTTAAGTTTTGCACTTATTCTCCATTCTTCTCTGCTTACCTTGTTTATTTTTGTTTGATTGCACAGCTAGGAAAACATGTTTATTACTAAATATATATACAGGTAATAACATTTTAAAATAATTTTCTATCCTTGGTTGAGGTGAGGCCAAAAATGGTGTCACAGCTAAGAGGTTAATAGAAAGATCTCTGCTGATTTAGAAATCTAATCATATTTTGAGCCTTAACTTTGTCCATAAAGGCTATGTGCAAATTATAGGGACTATAAGTTGTTGCTAGTTGGGACTCAATAACCTGGCTGATGGTGTTGCCAACCATGTCTGGTCAAAAGCTGTATCACAAGGGTTATGATAATGTAACCAGCATGAGGTGATCAGTAGGTGAAGATGAGGAGAGGTTTATGAAACTGATGGTGGTAACCCTAAGTTGTGAAAGAATGTGGGGTAAATATTATCGGATACCAATTACATGGTCAGTATGATGTGAGTTATGCCTCAAGTGACAAAACATGCTCTCTCTCTTTTCCTTCTACTTCCCTCTTCCTTTCCTCATAGTGTCTCTGACCCCCCCCCCCCTTTCTCCTTACACTTTGATAACACCTTTCATCCCACTTTTCCAATCCCTTCAGTTATTTGCTTTCTCTCTTTGTCCATGTTTAATGGAGTGCATTTTTTCAGGTTCCCGTGTCTGATAGTGACACCTCAATGCAAGAGGGAGAACAGCAGCCAGAAAACAGGAAACGTCCCTGGGAGAAGCCAGGAGGTAGGGAAGATATGATGTTTCAAGCATGTTGATTAACTCCTTAGTTTAATGCTTCCCAGGCAGAATCTCTTGAAATGGGGGAGAACTTCTCTTGCTAATCGCTAATGAGTTTAGGATTATGTTAATTTTTCAGTCTTCAAATTTTAGGGTAAAAAATATTTATGTAAGATTAGCTCAAAGTTTGTTAAAAAAAATTATATTTCTTAAGTAATGCTTTGTTTACCTTTTAACCATTTTCCATTGATAAATAACAAAGGCTTGTAACCTGGATTTTCGAGCTATTGTTAGGCAGAGTAATTTTTTTGCATCGAGCTGTTTCATTTTACACTTAACAGAAGGATGTTTTGAGTTAGAAGTTGGTGTCTAGTTTTAGAAACAGATTTTAGTTTGTACAATTTAAGAAAGTAATTTTGTTTTTCACTTTATTTTAGTTTTTGCAACTTCTCAGTGTACTGGATTAGCTGTTTATACAGCTGTATTTTTCCAAAGGGAGAGGGTTTCTTAAATAGAGGATATAATTTTTATTCAAGTAAATTAATTGGCATGTTATTTATTGGCACTCTTCTTTGTTTTGACAGCGGGCTAGTTTGATGGCCGCGCAAGGTCATCTTTGGTCCCATGACCTGTTATGTCTCCTCACGACATTAGTTAATTGTAGCACTCCAGAAAGCCAGCGGGGGATTCTGTTGTTACGGTACTTTGCTTTTAGCAAAGTTGTGTGTACGTTTGTCTTTGGGTTCAGAATGGGATTGAGCAAGAGGTCCCTCGTTGGCTGCCATGCATGAGGCTGGGTGCATACGTAACAGTCGTAGAGACATTTTCAGAGACTTTAATTGAATCGTGTTGCCCACACTTGTCATGGATGTCTGACTGAGGTGGGAAGTACGCCAGGTACTGAATCCTACCCAGTCATTCCACCTAAATTTATTATATTACAATCTGGCATGCAAATCTGAACACACATTGAGTGGGGAGATGTTTTATGCCCAATAGCCTTAACTTTGCTTAAAGATCTCAACTTGGTATCTTGTTGTATTCACTTGCAAGCTAAGACACGTTGATTTTCATGTCAATGGCAAGTGTGTTGCGACCTTTCAATTAATATGTGGTGGCAGGCATCAAGATCAAGAGAAAGAAGGTGCCAGGAGCCAAGAATCTTAAGATCCGGAGGTATGTGCAGCCTAAGAATGCAGTTATGTGCCTCAACGAACTTCGGCCTGGAGTGACGTACACAACGGAGCAGGAGGGAGGAGTCGGTCAACCATTCTGTATATCTGTAGAGGTTTCTAATGGGGTATGTCCAATGTTGGCCAATTATCAAGTATATGATAGGCTATTTATATTTTTTGTATTTAGTAGGCCAAGGAAGATTTGATTCTGAGGTAGGGTGTACACATACATATGCACACTCCCCCAAAGTGCACATTGGTAAGAGTAACTTACCTTTTTTATTTATAATTTTACATTTTCTCAATTGTGATCTTGCATATAAAAGTTCAGCAACATTGTTTGCCAGTGATCATTTTATCGTATGCAAGGGTCAAAATAAAGAAATGCACACTAAATTAATTTATTTGAATTTTTATATAGACTGGTAGACATTTGGTGTGCAGATTTTGATCATTGTGTGTGTATGACAAATAATAGTCATATATATTTATAAAGTTTTTGACAGACAAAATGATGAAGTTTGTGAAAAATTTATTTTGTAATGTTTGGTCAAGTCTGCATTAGATAAAGGTTGGTTAAGATATGTAATTGTATTATTGTGTTTGTGAGTCAAGACATTATTTCACTACTCAACTCTTCTGGTAAGATTAGTTATAAACTTGTATGTGTATTACAGTGGCACTAAAAAGATGAAAAAAAAGATTGCCATGGCCCTGTTGGGATTAAATAATATTCTGCATGCAATAAATGTACTTCAGCCCCATGTAGTTTGAGCGAGGTCACACGTACATGAACGGAGAAATGCTTTAAACTGTTCAGGACTTACAGGAAAGAGTTCAGAGCCGTGCAACCACATGGCCCCATGTTTTTAAAAACAAAAACCAACAAGGAAAAAAAGGCTTTTATGAAAATACATATAGAAATGCCAACAAAATACATTTTGTTGGTATTTGGAGATTGATGGAATGAATTACAATATTGTCATACTGTAATGCTTAAATAGTGATGGCAGATGAGTAATCAGAGGTAAGATAAATGAGCTATGAGGATATATTCAGTGAGCAAAAACTAATGACATTGTAAGAGGAGGGTAAGAGACAATATGCTCATAGTGTAAATGATGGGGGGGTGGGGATGGACAGATTGAATAAAAATAGTCTTCAAGGGTTTAGGGGATAATAGAATTAAGGGGTAAAGATGAAGTTATAAACAGATGAGCCAAAGCGGGCATAGAGAGATTTGTAAGCAGTAGTAACGAGTGGAATTGGCTTGAACCAGAGGTTGTGGTAGCAGCCATCATTGACAATTTTCAAAGCGAGCATGAAGTACAATACAGTACTTGAAAAGTCGGGAGAAATAAATAGTTAAAATTGCTATAAAACAGGGCACTACGGGGTGGTTCCTGCTTGCCATAGACACAACTCGATAATCTCGACAACACGATGCGTAAATATACAGTACAAGATAAAAACAAAAGAAATCTGATCATATTGCAGATTATTCGTGTTTTTATACTCTGAATAAATAAACCATCTAGTATTAGTGCAGGCGATGAGTCACAATAACGTGGCTGAAGTATGTTGACCAGACCACAAACTAGAAAGTGAAGGGACGACGACGTTTCGGTCCGTCCTGGAACATTCTCAAGTCGATTGTGACAAATTGAACGGGCTCGAAACAATCGATTTGAGAAAGTTCCAGGACGGACCGAAACATCGTCGTCCCTTCACTTTCTAGTGTGTGGTCTGGTCAACATCTGTTTTTAGTGTTGAACCTAGATTGGAAATTTTAACAATACCTTACCTTACTCACACTACACTATATACATTGTTAGTACTAGGAAAAGTAGGAGTATGCTGTACCATGTTTATTTTTTTGTTGACTTGTGGGGGAGAACTTACATAAAATTTAAGTTTTATCAGCTAAACCAGAAACATTTATTTTTCTTGGCCTAATGTTTATTGTACTTTGGAGGTAAAATGATGTAGATTGGTAGTAAAATGTATATTTTATAAATGTGGTATTTCATAAATAATTGAGATATACAGTATATTTATATTAAGTAAAATTAATGTATGTTAGGATTAAGAAGTTTTTATGTACTGTATATGTTTTAAATTTGCATTTAAAAACAGGCTTTTTAAAAATCATAGGCTATAAATATGTCTCTCCTTCATTTGTAGACTGAAACACAAAAATATAGAGGCTTTGGGTCATCTAAACAACTGGCAAAGCAAGCGGCAGCAGAAGCGGCACTAATAAGCTTTGTGAAACCACCCGTCACTGCAAATTCTACAGAAAATCAAGAGGAAGATAAGACCCCTTGGGCTACGCTTGCATCATTTGCCATATATAAACTGTTCAACGATTGGCGTGAGGGTAGAGTTGGCATGTGCCCTCCCCCTGCCCAGCCTTACGGCACTGCAGTTCCACCTGGTAAGAACTTTTAAGTTAGTACATTTGAATCATTGCAGCATACCTGTTATATACAGTATCTGTTGAGGAGTTCGAGGATCAACATCGACTGTGATTTGGTCTCTGACCAGGTCTCCTGGCTGGTCAATCAGGCTGTTCAATGCAGCTCTTTTATCTGCATAGTCTAACATATGAGTCAAGAGCCTGGTTGATCAGGTATCCCTTGGTGTTTATCATGGTCTCTCTTGAATGCTGAAAGATCGGCCTCGTGTACAGGGAGTGTTGAAAAGTCTTGGGTCTTTGATGTTGATTGAGGTTTATCTTAGCATACTTACTGCACTTCTGCTTTTTAATGGGGCTATTTTGTGCATCCTGCCGAGCCTTCTGATTTCATGTGTTATCTGTGTGTGCAGATTTGGAACCAGTCCTATTGAGACATTTTCTTTGCATCTTTGAATCATAGTTTTTATTGTTCAGTAATATCTAACTTTTATGTAGTATTTTATCTGCATACAGCCACTTGATTTATTTGAAGAGTATTTTAAATTGCCTACCCATGTTTGGAAGTTAGCCAGAAGGAATATGATCTCTATATGTTTCTCATGTATCCTATCAGCATCAGGATTTATGGGAAATGCAACTAGTGGTTTGTTGTTCAAACTAGCATATTGTACTCATAATTTAAAAGTAAAAAACCTTTTGCAGAATAACCAAATAAGCCTATCTTGTCCCAAGTAAAGTGATAGATGCGAGAAATGCAATATTTATTGATGCACCCATCAATAAATTTCATAAACAAATGTGTATCGGTCATATTTGTCCTATAGCGGTAAAAAAAAAAAAATGCAGCAGTAAAATGGCTAACGTACCTCAAAAATATTTACATGAAGAGGACGAGATCAGCTAGAAGGCATATAAGGATTGAGGCAACGGTCAGCCATTTTCATTCTTGAAAGGTTAAGTGAACACCACACACTCGCGTCTACCAAAATTGAGCTCTTGTTTGTTACATACAACTTGCTGTTATTTATAACTTTTGGCATTACAAAACTGTAAATTTATTATTTTCCTTTATGTACAATGTATAATCGGATTGATTGTGGTGTATATAAGTACTGAAAGGAGGGAGGCAAGAGAAGTTACTGGTGAAGTAAGTCAGCTGCATGCCACCACCTGCTGTCCCTTGAGACATGTGGTGGAAAATAGTATTCTGAACAAGAATAATTTATGATTATTGTATTATTAATAATGCTGGACAACCAGCATTTGTTAAACTGCAAATTTCCTGTTGTTTATAGTAACTGCCATTACAAAATGGATTTTTTATTATACTTGGTGTATTTACATACATACAAGGCAGTTATCATTGATGCTTGGCCAAAAAACCTAGCTGCAGGAACAGAAGAAATCAAAACAGTTTATGGATAATCTACAAAATGGGTCATATTAGGTGACCCACTGAAATATACAGGTTATAATTTGAAATAATAATCAAATGGCCAGACGAGGAGTCACAATAACGTGGCAGAAATATGTTGACCAAACCACTCTAGAAAGTGAAAGGACGACGATGTTTTGGTCCGTCCTGGACCATGACAATCGACTTAAGAATGGTCCAGGACGGACTGAAACTTCATTGTCCCTTCACTTTCTAGTGTGGTTTGGTCGACAATTATCAAATAGGTTTTTATTTGGTGAATGTTAATCGAGTGAAATACTATACTGTATTTGTATTGGAGGTTGTTTATTAATTTACTCGGATGAGTGTAGACCACAGTGCTGGCATCTTGCAGTCATGAGATCCCACTTGTTATGGTGTTCATGCATTGAGATAGGATTAGAGTAGATAGGATTTGAGTAAATGAATCAGGCAAGCAAATACAATTTTGTAATACAAGAATCCTTCTGCATTAACAAGTTCCTGCTAATTTCTTGGCTGAATATTTGGGGTTTGAGAACCCATGGTCTAGACCGTCTTTTTCGAGATGAGGAAAACAGAAAGGGGAAATATAATGTAATATTTATATCTAGTGAGTGTTAAATATGTGGAATGAGCTTGAATCGGTGATGATGGAAGCCACCACCATTCACAGTTTAAAAATAAACAAATACAGTAATGTGCTAGAAAGTTGGGAGATATAAATTTTCCAGGTACAGTAGCTTTTAAATGGGGCTCTAAATCTTGTTCACCCTCCCTATAGACACAAAAAAGTAAGCACCGCTCTCCCTTCGTTATTTTTCACTCCAAATCTCTTCATAGCCCCTTCCAAATACTGCATCCTATATCACCATGAACTTTGTTATTTATTGTTTTAGTAATATGCTTAGTTCCTGTATTCCCTCCTGGAGTTCCTGGTTTGTTTGTAAAATCAGGTGTGTGTGTGTACATTGTTCTTAGGCTACTTATTACTTTTGAAGGTTGTGTCCCTCTGGGGAAGGGGGTTGACCATAGCTTGTGTTTGTTGTACCTTGGAGACAGTCCTCATTGTGCTCTGAAGTAGTTATTGGTTGGTGTAGATGATTTGTTGTGGTGTCAGTTCTTCCACCTGGTGACAGTTGGGGATTGTGAACTTTGTTATTTGGTGGACTGTGCTTGACAGATGCCAAGTAGTTTTAGGAAACTTAGGAATTTTATATGTGCAATTTCTAGCTGAATTGAGTAGTCTCTTAATCTTTTCACAACACCAATATGATCTGGCAAGGACAGTGTAAAAAGGTCTTCACTGTGCAGGTACAGGCTGTTAACCTGACATAACAGCACAAGATCCTAACAAGGGGGTCAGTAGGATCTTGTCTTTGGTAGCAACTAAATGGGGCTGATAATACAGAATACAAAACTGATATACAGTTTTGATCGTATTTTTATTTTACCACTCTTGATTATATAATCTGTGAAAATGTTATACTTGCAATGCAAGAAAGCATCTCACAATTTAGATATGAATTGCTACAAGTTGCAATAACACTTAAGCATTCAGAATTTTAATCTTTTCATCACATATGCACTTCAGTGGATTAGATCTTGTTTGATTGTGACTTCTGTTATTCACATTACAGTACTGTACTTTATTAGTAAAGCCTTATGATGTGCCCAATTGCTCCATTTTTGTAGGATCTAGTTGCTTCTTACCTTGCAGGATTTCAAGCATTCCTAAATCAGCCTGTGGGAGGAAGTGCCGTGAAGGAGGAGTCTCCACAAGCTGCTGCATTTGCTGAAGCAATATGTGCTCATCTAGGAGGCCGTGCACCAAACACTCCTGCAACTGATGCAAAAGTAAGACATGCTCCTCTTTGAAATGTATTATTTGAATAAATTAATGTAGCCATTGTTTTTAGACAGTGGCATAATATACCTCCAGGTTTTTAGGATTTGAGATGTTCCTCATCCAGATTTGGAGAGAATGTTTTAATTTGTTTAAGATCTAGATTTTTCTCTTTTTTTTCAGCCGGACACAAATTTGTCTTTCCAGTCGACAGAACCTGTGAAAGTGCCAAATCCAGCCAAGCAAGTCCCTGAAAATGCTGCCGGAATGCATCCTGTCATGGTCCTGCATCAGATGAAACCTGCAGTGCAGTACTCTGTTTCTCAGACGATGCGCGAGAGCAAGCCTTTCTTTACTGTCTCGGCTGAAATTGATGGAAAGGAGTTTACTGGAGAAGGTGAGGTTAATAAAAATATTTTTAAACTACTGATTTAGATATAGTTGACTCCTAATTCTGTGTGGTGGGATAAACCATATTTGGGTTTTGTCTCAAGAAAAATACCTACTTTTGTCAGCTGTGCTCCCAAATCCTTCTAATTAATGATTTTTTTGTATAAAGTATGATTAGATAATAATAGCCAGAGAAATGTCAAATCTTGGTACAGTACAACCTCAATTCAACGTACTATATGGGACCACCCCCAGTTCGTTGGAGCGTTGGATTCGTTGCAAGAGGTGACCTTCAAGAGGCGTTTGCGTCAGTGTCTTTTTTTTTCTTGTACACAATAAAAATGCCTTGTATCATATTACTTACTGTACCTATATTTTACTACTCTACTAAAAATACTGTAATTCATGTATTTACCTTATTGTTGGAGTTATGTCCATCTTGAAGTTTTGTGAAGTTGTGAATGCTCTACAGTAAATAGGTACTGCAGTGCATTAAGCCGTTAGCACTGTATTATTAAAAGTGGTTTTGCTGTATGTTGAGTACTACAATACAGTTCTTGAAAACTATTGTACATTAGAATTATTGCAACTTTAATTTTAACACTATGTACACACTTGAATTTAACACTTATTCTAATTGTTCACTTCACACACGATGTTTTTAGATGTTTGCATCAGCTTTGCTGGTGCTCGCTGCTGCTGTGTTGGCTTCAGCTGCTTTTGTGCTGGTGCTGGGTACAGCTGTGCTGGTGCTGGGTACGGCTGTGCTGGTGCTGGGTACGGCTGTGCTGGTGCTGGGTACGGCTGTGCTGGTGCTGGGTACGGCTGTGCTGGTGCTGGGTACGGCTGTGCTGGTGCTGGGTACGGCTGTGCTGGTGCTGGGTACGGCTGTGCTGGTGCTGGGTACGGCTGTGCTGGTGCTGGGTACGGCTGTGCTGGTGCTGGGTACGGCTGTGCTGGTGCTGGGTACGGCTGTGCTGGTGCTGGGTACGGCTGTGCTGGTGCTGGGTACGGCTGTGCTGGTGCTGGGTACGGCTGTGCTGGTGCTGGGTACGGCTGTGCTGGTGCTGGGTACGGCTGTGCTGGTGCCAGTGACATTTTGTATAATCTCATCATCTGTTAAATGACCATTGATTAAATGATTTATTAATTTTATTATTTCGGAGCCGTAGTCACTGAACTGTGGCGACGAATTGAAACGAGAAACGCATGGTGTGTGTGTACAGGGATTAGACCCGTCCACTCGCTCACGCTGGAGTTGTTCCAATAACAAATAATTTCTCAAATAGCAGATGTCTATCATATTACAGTATATTTTCGGTTTTATTTAGTTTAGTTTAATTAGGATAATAAAAAGCTATTAAAGCATTGGTTTTAGAAATGATTTATTAATCTGAAACTTTCAAAGTCATGGGTCACTGAACTATAACGACACAGACGAAGGAAAACCAAGTGAGGTTTACAGAACAGTATTCCCTTATCTGTCCACCCTCACTCACCTTGTTTTATCACAGAAAATGTCTATAAGGAGATTTTACGATATGTAGCTAGCTAATCACGCTTCAGCCTTTAAATTAATTTACAAAGATCCGTCTGCCACAAATCAGTGGGAGGTTGGGAGGGAGAGGCAGGGAGGGAGGCAAGCACGGAGGGAGACAGGCACGGAGGGAGGCAGGCAGAGCTTGGGAGGGAGGCAGGGAAGGAGAGGATGGAGATGGATTGATGGTAGGATGGAGGGAGGGATGGAAGGATGGATGATTTGAGGGTGTGTGTGTGTGTATGGGCTGTAGGGGTGGGGGGGGGGGAGGTGTGTCGGTGGTGGTGAAGGGACCGACTCGCTGATAACCCTAACTCTGACCCAGTTAACTTTTTTTTTTTAACTTGATTTGTTTCTTCAATTCTGGATGGATGGAGGGAGAAAGGGGATGGAGGGAGGGGATGGATGGATGGATGGAGGGAGGGGATGGATGGATGGAGGGGGGATGGATGGAGGGAGGGGATGGATGGATGGAGGGAGGGGATGGATGGAGGGAGAAAGGGGAAGGGGGGAGGGATGGATGGATGGATGGATGGATGGAGGGAGGGGATGGATGGATGGATGGAGGGAGGGGATGGATGGATGGATGGAGGGAGGGAGGGGATGGATGGATGGATGGAGTTCCTCTTTAGTAAATACAGATACAAAATACTTATTAAAAATACTACTCATCTCTTCATCACTATCTGTTATTTGACCTGTCTCAGTTTTTAATGGACCTATCCTTTCCCTAGTCTTAGTACGATATAACTGAAAAAACCCTTTAGGATTTGTCTTTGCTTGCCCTGCTATGCGAACTTCATAGTTTCTTTTTGCTTTCCTTATCTCTTTTTTAACATTTCTAACCAGTTGTACGAATTCCTGTTCTAAAGTGACCTCCCCATTTTTAATCCTTTTGTACCAAGCTCTCTTTTTACCTATAAGGTTCTTCAAATTCTTTGTTATCCACTTTGGGTCATTAGTATTCGATCTATTCAATTTGTATGGTATACTAAATTCAATTTGTATGGTATACTAATTCAATTTGTATGGTATACTACTATATGGTATGATGGAAGCCACCACCATTCACAGTTTAAAAATAAAAATACAGTAATGTGCTAGAAAGTTGGGAGATATAAATTTTCCAGGTACAGTAGCTTTTAAATGGGGCTCTAAATCTTGTTCACCCTCCCTATAGACACAAGAAAGTAAGCACCGCTCTCCCTTCGTTATTTTTCACTCCAAATCTCTTCATAGCCCCTTCCAAATACTGCATCCTATATCACCATGAACTTTGTTATTTATTGTTTTAGTAATATGGTTAGTTCCTGTATTCCCTAACTGGAGTTCCTGGTTTGTTTGTAAAATCAGGTGTGTGTGTGTGTGTGTGTGTGTGTGTGTGTGTGTGTGTACATTGTTCTTAGGCTACTTATTACTTTTGAAGGTTGTGTCCCTCTGGGGAAGGGGGTTGACCATAGCTTGTGTTTGTTGTACCTTGGAGACAGTCCTCATTGTGCTCTGAAGTAGTTATTGGTTGGTGTAGATGATTTGTTGTGGTGTCAGTTCTTCCACCTGGTGACAGTTGGGGATTGTGAACTTTGTTATTTGGTGGTTATTTGGTGGACTGTGCTTGACAGATGCCAAGTAGTTTTAGGAAACTTAGGAATTTTATATGTGCAATTTCTAGCTGAATTGAGTAGTCTCTTAATCTTTTCACAACACCAATATGATCTGGCAAGGACAATGTAAAAAGGTCTTCACTGTGCAGGTACAGGCTGTTGACCTGACATAACAGCACAAGATCCTAACAAGGGGGTCAGTAGGATCTTGCCTTTGGTAGCAACTAAATGGGGCTGATAATACAGAATACAAAACTGATAATACAGTTTTGATCGTATTTTTATTTTACCACTCTTGATTATATAATCTGTGAAAATGTTATACTTGCAATGCAAGAAAGCATCTCACAATTTAGATATGAATTGTTACAAGTTGCAATAACACTTAAGCATTCAGAATTTTAATCTTTTCATCACATATGCACTTCAGTGGATTAGATCTTGTTTGATTGTGACTTCTGTTATTCACATTACAGTACTGTACTTTATTAGTAAAGCCTTATGATGTGCCCAATTGCTCCATTTTTGTAGGATCTAGTTGCTTCTTACCTTGCAGGATTTCAAGCATTCCTAAATCAGCCTGTGGGAGGAAGTGCCGTGAAGGAGGAGTCTCCACAAGCTGCTGCATTTGCTGAAGCAATATGTGCTCATCTAGGAGGCCGTGCACCAAACACTCCTGCAACTGATGCAAAAGTAAGACATGCTCCTCTTTGAAATGTATTATTTGAATAAATTAATGTTGCCATTGTTTTTAGACAGTGGCATAATATACCTCCAGGTTTTTAGGATTTGAGATGTTCCTCATCCAGATTTGGAGAGAATGTTTTAATTTGTTTAAGATCTAGATTTTTCTCTTTTTTTTCAGCCGGACACAAATTTGTCTTTCCAGTCGACAGAACCTGTGAAAGTGCCAAATCCAGCCAAGCAAGTCCCTGAAAATGCTGCCGGAATGCATCCTGTCATGGTCCTGCATCAGATGAAACCTGCAGTGCAGTACTCTGTTTCTCAGACGATGCGCGAGAGCAAGCCTTTCTTTACTGTCTCGGCTGAAATTGATGGAAAGGAGTTTACTGGAGAAGGTGAGGTTAATAAAAATATTTTTAAACTACTGATTTAGATATAGTTGACTCCTAATTCTGATAGAATGAGAAAGTTTTCCACCACTCTGGGATAAACTATATTGTGGGTGTTGTCTCACTTGTGTGATCCAACTTGTCATAAAAATACCTACTTTTGTCAGCTGTGCTCCTGGACAAAGCAAATCCTTCTAATTCGGCGAATGATTGTTTGTATAACCGTATGAATTAGATGAATAATAGCCAGAGAAATGTCAAATCTTGGTAATTATAAGGGTTTAACAGCAAAACTTAAATCTTTAAAGTTTCTATAAGGGCGTGTAGCACGAGACGTATTTACCTTGGGTGACCCAAGAAACACAATGCGATGTCAGGCATTTTGTAAGTTAATTCCAAGCCATATGTGCACTCAATGCATATTATATAAATATAACCAATAGAGACTCCTAATGATGAACAACAACATAAAGAATATGCATTAAATAAAAAATCCTAGTGAATCTTATGATTTACTAGGATTTTTTCCCTAGTAAATCTAAATATATTATTTAATTTTTTTTAAGTTAAAAGGTTTTTTAAGTTAGTCGTCGCCGAGCGCAAGTGTTGTGTTAATTTAAAGCTAACGTCGAAATATGACCAAACCTAACCTAACTTACACTAACATAACTAAGTACGTAAGTTATTCATGTTCTTAATATAATAAAATAATATTAACTCAAACCAATTGGAATTTTTTTAAATAACAAAAATCACTGTCTATTAGGTAAATTGGGCCTTGCATACTAGGCCGAGTAGTGCATTCTGGCCATTAGGTATGACATATATATCTTGTATGCTATGTTATTGTGTAAATAAAATAACATACACCATACTCACGTAAAAATATTTGTAGGTTTGTGTATGGGTGGATTTTAGGGAGGCATTCTTGCCAATTTAGGATGCTACCAATTCGGGAGACATTTGATTCTGCCACCAACAGATAGCAACATTTAGCAAGTCCAGGTGTTAGATTCTGAAGGCAAAATTATCTCTGCACACAAGAACAATATATAGGAAATGTCCAGTTACTCATATCGCATATTTTAGGTAATCGAAATAAGCCTTAGTTTATTTAGGTTTAGATTGATTTAGATTAGGCCACCCAAGAGGGTGGTATGGGCATGAAAATCCTGTAATTATTTTAGGTGTGGTGAAGCAGTAAATTCTCATTTACATCATCACATCGTATGTACCCCCCCCCCTTCCTGCAGTAGTTTCATATGTTGCACCGTACCTAAACATGTCTTAGGAAGATGTGCACACTTGAGTCAATCTTGTAATGATATGCGCATTTTAAAGGTTAAAGAAATATGCTTAAGTACTCGAGTTGGCATGGGTAGACATAAAAATGGAGTAGGGCTCATTTGAATAAGTTGTATGGCAACGTTGTTAAAGAAAGGCTGAAAATATAAAGCTAGTGTAGTACACTTGGGAGACATTAGACAAAGAAATTGTGCATTCTGTATATGTTGGAAGTGTTTGTAGGGTTATTTATTCATGCTATACAAAGTGTAAGAACAGTAATTATATTACGATTATTAAATTTGAATAATTTTTTTCAGGACCCAATGTGAAAAAAGCAAAGTTCTTCTTGGCCAAGGAAGCAATCCTGGGGCTGTATGGTGTCGAGTCGACCTTTGAAACTCCAGCCTAATTTGGTAACACACATAGGTGGTGATCTCCACAATTCTTAACCTAGAATAACATAACCAAAGTGTTAAAAGTGATATTTGTCAGTCACTTGTATCTTAAGAGTATCCCACAAGCATATACATTTGCTAGATAGCACTTGACCTACAACCTTCCTACCTAATAGCTCTTGTAACCTATTTAATTAACCCATAGCAATTAATTACATGATGCTGACCAGTTACTGTACTGAGCTGCCATGTATGCTTGGAAATCCTAGCCTAAGAAATACAAAATATTTTGGCAGTTTAGCATGCAGTTTTTTTTTATACAGTACATATATATATTTTTATTAATAAATTTGTTTTACCAGGATGAAATTACATACTGCTTATGTAACTCAAGACAATGAAATTGGTAAATTTCATTTGTTAAATGTTTTGATTTTGTTACTATTAGAATGATTTATTTATTAAAGAGAATATTCTAATCAATGTAGTTTCTGTATCGTGTTTCAAAAGTATGAAATAAGATAGAAAATCCAGGAAAATAAAAAGAGTAAAACATAGGTCTTTCATTACCTTGCTTGGTGCTACGAAGACTCAGGTGAAGTAGTGATGTTTGTAATTAGTGTGCAAGTTAACGAGAATTGGAAAGGGAACATGAAACCCCATTGAACAATACAAAAGGATGACGACATCCTGAAATGAGACATGTGACTTCGTAATACCATTATATATATTTATATCTTAATTTGCAGTGATCGTCCATGGCTTGTACTGAATATCTGAAAAGCACACACGTGCAAATAATCACCCGGGTAATTCCTAGGCCGTCCTCCCATAATTACTTGGGATAAATTACAAGTACTATAATTTGGAATATCGCGCGAATTTCGCATATAACAAGGTGGCTCGCATGGGGCCTTACATATAATAACATGGGCAACTCTTGTAAGTTGTTATACACTTCATACTTCTATCACCTTTATTCCTGGTTTTATACATCTCATTGGTTCACAAATAACGGAAGGATAATTAGGCTAGGATTTGTTTAAAAAATAACGTTTAGTGTTTATACTATAAATATATTTATGTAAAACATTTACACTATATACCAATGTCCTGACTTTCAGGACGTGTGTGTTGCTTCCCGACCGTCCCTCGCGGTCACTAGTCCCTCGGTAGAATCCTTGGTGAATCTGATACCGTTGATATTGTTCGCCTTATGCGCTTTTGTTCTCGTAATGGCATCCTTGGTGATATTTAACCCCTTTTGAATATCCTGCAAATTTGATGGTGCTACATAGCCTTCCCAGCTTGGTGCCTTCTTTTGATCATTACTTACTTAGGCCAAATAGTCCAGTGAACATAATCTGAGGATCGCCGAAAAACTGTGTTTATCCTTGCCATTAAAAAAAAAAAAAGATGCATAGTAAAGTGAGACGCCCATATGTCTGTCGAACCCAGTACACACGCACTGGGTTCAACCAGCTGCACTAATAGCCAGTTCTGCTTTCAACATGTTTAATAGTTCCTCTGTGTGGTTTGCAAGGGTCTCGCTAAATGTTTCAACCCATCCTTCAAAACTCGTAGAACGTTTATACTATGGTTCGATCAAAATGATAGATAAAACCTATAGCTACTATGGGTAGACCAAAATGGGATGGAATGTACAAAATGTGAACTTTTATGTTCACATTTTGTATTACTGGTATATTAAAGAATATAAATTACCGGTATATTAACCAAAGAGTGAGACACCATAGATCTTGCCTAACTAGTCATTTTGATTATTCCTTCCTTAACTGGTGCTACATAGTTTTCCCGGCTTGGTGCCATCTTTTGATAATTGCATTCATGTATATATTTAAATATTCTTTAAATTGGAATCCAACAATTATTAAAAACAAATTGTAGTAGAAAAACTCAAACTAATTCAGAGCAATTGGTAATATATTTTATCTGAATGTTCTGTATTTTATATGTATATAAATAAAATAAATTTCTCACGTTTTTTCAGAAAGTTGTCGAATTCCTCTAATAACGATTTCGACAAATTGTGTTGTACATTAATAGATACATTTAGATAACACTTCAGATATGCATTTTGTATATTTTGGGTCAACTAGGCAACATCATATGATCTAAGTAAGTCGATTGTTCCTCAGTATTACACAATTTGAGTTAAATTCGACTTTGGGTACTCGATAACATTTCAATATATTTATAACAATTTTGCAAAAGAAAAACTTCGGCAAGGGGGTAGCTTTGTCTGGGCCGCCAATACAGTATATAAGAATGTGTGTATGCATTTACCTGACATCTATTTAATGGCAAAGACGGGGACAGGAAGGCCGTAGCTTGTCAAATGTCCCCCATTTTCAAAATCTGATAATTTTGAAATTGTCTGTCTGACATTTACTGCTTCAGCGGGTAGGCGGTTCCACGCGTTTATAACTATGAGTGAAAAAACATTTATTTTCTGTCCAACATTGTGACTTATTGAGCTTGAAGCTATTGTCCATTGTATGTATTTCGTGTAACTTTTTAAAGAGGTGGTCTGGATTAATATCCTTCATTTTGTTCAGTATGTATTTTAACAGTTTTATATGAGATTCGCGTCCTATCATGTCTATGTATGTATTCTCACATATTTTGTTTTCAGTATAAGTTACATAGTTGGAGGCGTATATACAAAACTGTCAGGAATCTTAGCGAAGTATCTAAAATCTGCTTACTGTAGGTTCAGCCTGCACGTGATAAAAGCTGCCGCACAGTTGGGTGGGTGTGCAGCAAGACTAGTAACTGTGACTCGCCATAGATGTAAAGTGTCTTGTATAGTGACCGTTGTGAGCCTCTTGTGGAATCACTTGTGATATAAAAAGATTATTGATATGTATACGTACTCACCTAGTTGAGCTTTGGCTCTTTGGTCCCGCCTCTCAACTGTCAATCAACTGGTGTACTGATTCCTGAGCCTACTGGGCTCTATCATATCTACATTTGAAACTGTGTATGGAGTCAGCCTCCACCACATTACTGCCTAATGCATTCCATCTGTTAACTACTCTGACACTTCCATTAAAAAGATTCTGTTAACTACTCTGACACTGAAAAAGTTCTTTGTTTAGTATATCTAACGTCTCTGTGACTCATTTGGGTACTCAGTTTCCACCTGTGTCCCCTTGTTAGTGTTCCACCCGTGTACATGTATGTGTATATAAGTACATGTGTATGTAATATTAACAATTATGTACCTAGCTTCACAAGATTCTAAGCTAAACAAACTATGGGGTTCAGTTCCTGAACCCATTATGTTCCTCTGTACCCCTTTCCACCACCGCCCACGGGATGGGTATAGGGTACATAATAAATAAATTTATCTAATCCAAATCTGGAGATTGAATCGCTATGTATAGTTTAGGGCTCATATTCTGGAAATTTTCTTCGACAATTTTATTGTGTGAAATTTTTTGGTTTGGTTCGTGATTCTTTTTATGTGCTTGTTAACATTTTCCACTACCGCCGGTATGAGTGCATAATAAATGAACATAATCAAATGGGCAATAGTGAATGAAGATTACACCAAGAGCGTGATATACTTATATAACTCTTGATACCCAACCCACACACCTGAAAATGCAGACGGGACGTTATCAAGTCTTGCAGCCACGTTATTGTAACTCATCGTTGGTACTACTGTTTGTTGTTTGATGATATTTTCTGACAGTACACGACACTGACAGCCGTATTACTCAACAGTACACGAGATGAAACAGTCCGTTGTGAAAGTCTATTTTAAAAGAGCGTTAATTAATAATTATATCCACTTTCTCGACATTGACGTCATATTTAGGAATGATGGCCACACCACTAACAACTACGAAAAGTCCACAGACCATGTTTTATGTGCGAATTATGCGACCCCGAAGTTATCAAAAGTCAACCAAATTCTCATAATCAGTGGGTACTTTACCACCATCACTGAGGACGGTTGTGACACAGACTGTAAGTCTCCACACACGTGACCCCCACTGGGAGACATGACAGTTACAATCACCACACCGTATATTACAAGATGACTACAGCCTACAAAATAGACACGAAGGTACACTGAACATTGTCATAAGCAGTGGGGCCCAGATTCATCAGGCATTTACGCAACCACTTGCGAAACCTGTACATCTTGGCTCAATCATGGCGGCCATATTTACATTCATTAAACATTTATCATGGGGTTCTAGGGCGCAGTGTACCTCAGAAGGGGCACAGTACTGACCTTTGAGAGCCATAAATTTCATACAAATTTAGTATTTTAGTTATTTAACACAAAAAGAAAAATATAAAATAACTAAAATGCGACCTCGAACTTTTAAGAAATGCATTTTGCAATGTTAGAAAATCGGTAAACATATAGTCTTCAAGACAAATCCAATAAAAAAAAATAATTAAAATACACCACATTAATTAATTAACACCTTTTTGTCACAAAAAATACATGAAAAGCGAACATAAATTAAAAAATAAAATAAAAACATTTCATTGATCATACCAAGAAATTCGTCACAGCTGATCGATCGACACGTGGGGACTTGAGGCCGTCTTGTCCTTCAGTGATTTTTGTCATTTTCTCTTATTTTCTCAGGTAATTATGAGTAACGTGAGTGTGTAGAGTGAAATAAGAGTGTGAGAATGAGTTGGTATGCATATGAAAGCTGAATAATGAATACAAATTCAGTATCACCTAATCTTGTCATATATAAACTAAATTTAGCAGTTTCAAGTTTTGTGCTTTGATTTTTTTCTACGAAACATTTATTTTTGGAAATCAAAGTTGAGAATTTCTTTTGCAAGTAGTTGGTCCTTGCCTAGGATGCAAAATAATCTTGCATTGGCCTTGACCAATTTAGTTATTAATAAGTAAAGAGCCTGTGGACTCTGGGCTCTTTGAGGGGGTCCGTCTAATTACCACAAGCTACCACAAAGCTACACAAGCTTCACAAAGCTTCCTGACAATATGTTAGTAATGAATAAATATGATAGGTTAGGTTGACCTAACCTAACCTAATCGACGCTTGGATCGTCGACTTGATTTGGCGTCACCAAATTGGCCTGCCAGTCACCTGCTCTTTATTTTCGTCTAATTTCTTTATAAAAAGATACTTTTTCAGATTAAAATTATGTTTTTTCGTGTTGTACATTCAGCACCAACATTATAATGAGTAAATATATCATATTTATTCATTACTAACGTATTGCCAGGAAGCTTAGTGAAGCTTGTGTAGCTTGTGGTAGCTTGCGGTAATTAGACGGACCGCTTTGAGGCAACTAACCAACCTTGCTTGAGCGTCTCGCAGACAATAAAATGTTTGTGCATATGTTTCTAGGCCTAAAATCGCTTACATTACTCATGGAATTGCTTAATTAGAACTGATTATGTTAACTTTATTTGTTTTACTATGCCTAGAATTGTAATAATATACAAAGCGAAGATTTGTTGGTCATATATTGTACTTCCATCCATGCTAGTTATTGGTATCATTTTTGGAGTTTGGGTTGGAGAA